GATACACTTTGGCTATAATCCTTCTTCTAGCAGAAATTTTGATCAATTTCATTAGCAGAAAAGTACAGTGTTTCTTTAGATTCTCAAATTAAGATCTGAAACTTTATGTCAAAAAAGTTGCACTGCAACAATACAAGACGGTAAATTGTTTAAACTTTTTTCAAACACAAGAAAATCTTATCTGTATTTTGTCAAATGAAAACTTTAATATTATTTTGTGAAATTGATCTTCCTTAAAGTAAATGATAAAAAAAATCTTGTTTTGTGCATGAAGATTGTCAATAATAATTACTACACGTAACCTTCATCAAAGTTAAATATTATTTTAAAAGTAGTTAAAGAATATCGATTTTTCTTGCAAACGAAACATTTGATTATCTATCTATTAAGAAATAAAAGTAAGAATACCATTGCGATGTATATAATTTGTATTTTTTGGTAATTAATTATAAAGTAAATTATTTTTGACATTCTTATTTCAATAACATTGAATGTAAGTAAACTAATTAAATAAATGTGTCAATTAATATAAATTTTCCACATTATTTTATAAAAGCTTTACAGAGAAAAGCAATATTTGGAACGTGGATAAGTTTCTGAAGAATGTTTTGTTGGATTGAATTTTATTATATAAATATATGTCTGTAATAATCGATTGTCAAATAAAGTCTATAATTTAAGTAAGCCAAATCCTATTCTACATCTATTATCTAGCAAATTTATTTTTTCTAATTTCCCATATTTTTAAATTCCTTTTATTACTTATTTCAATGATTAAATTTTATGGAATCTTTATCTATTTGTTTGATAAATATTTTTACAAATATGTTTAAAAATATTAATAGTAAAGCACCCTATTATTAATAAGGATTTTGTACTTTTAATAAGATAAAGGGCCCTATTACGAGACAAACTGTTTCGAATTATATAATTCACTATAATTTACTGATTAGAATACTAAAAAAAATTCTGGTTAGTGCATACTTAACACGATATTCTAATTAAAAACCGGAATTGTGTTTATTCAAAAAATAAGTTTTTTCGATGCATTAATTAAATTCTGCAGTAATACCAGTATGGTTGAATACACTTAAAATAACATGAGAAAATATTAGTAAGTATTGATAAAAGCTTTTTTTTAATCAATAAATTATAGTGTATCTTTAATTGGGACAGTGTTTTACGATATAGGGCCCTTTACCTTTAGATCTGACTAAAAATGTTTTTTACAAAAAAGAACAAAAAAGTAATACAGAGAAACGTCTGATGAATATTTATTCTTACTATACTAAAGAAAATGAAAGTAACGAAAAGAAATCAAGTATTAGAGGTTAGTTTTAATTGAACATAATTTTATGGAGAATCATATAATAAATTTAAAATCACAAATTTCTAAAAAAAATTCTTTAGCTTTTCTTTTCTGAAAGGAATAAGTTTGAACTTAATTTTGAAATCAATATTAATTGATTTTTCAGTAATCGATAGTAAAAATATACAACCTTCAACACCTGATACAATGCCTATATTTTTTGCAACTATTTTTCAAGAATCAATAACAAAAAATTTTTTAAATTTTCTTTAAAGCGTCAAATTTAGTTTATAAATTTTTCTTACAAAAATGAATATATAACAACCAAACTTTAGACATACTTGCAGCAGATCGAGCACATTAACTTATAAATAAAGCAAAGTTATTTAAGTTTAACGCTTATTATTTATAGTTAATTTAAATTAAAAATTTTTAAATTATTTTTAATCAATTATTTTGTTGGAGAATAATTTCTACTACTAACGAAATAAAAACAAATAAAAGCAACTCAAGTAGTAAAAGTCATTTTCAGTCAGACTTCTAATTATTTACATCGGTCTTATTGGTCTAAAAAATGTGTTTTTATATATTCGATAAGATGGTTATAATAGTTTAATAATTACACTTAAGTTAATAAACACAAATGTTAAAAAAATGATATTTCCCAAAATTGTTTTTTTCAAAAAAGTATTATTTTCGAAAAATAACTGAAATTTTCTTTGCTTGATTTTTAAAAAATTTGGTGTGTAGAGTTTCTTATGTTTCTTAATCAGGTATATACTTTTAATTTCGTTTGTAATGATTTTAATTTTAATTTATTTATTATTTTATTTATAGTTAAAGAATATAATTTGTAAAATATGTTTAGAAAAATAATTTTTATTATCCCTTTAGCATTTAAATTTATAGAATATTTATCGTTTCTCTATTACGTGTCGTATAAATAGTTTATTATATTCCGTAATAAATTATTAAAATGTTATTTAAACTTTTTTAATTTGTGACATAAGGCATCTATTTCATTATTTTAATTTTTCTATTTCAACGAATTGTAAATAGAGTAATATTATTATATTGGATATTACTGATTAGAAGAATAGCTTCATTTTATTAAATAAATAATTAAATGCTTTGAATATTATATGAATATTGTATAATTTCTACATGGAAAAACATTTATGAATTTTATAATTTTAATTCACAATATATATATAATTTATTTACAATCATTTTTATTTTTATAAAATAATTTTAATTTACAAAATTTATTTATTTACAAATAATTTTTATTTTTATAAAATGCTTTTCAATTCAAAATAGTTGTATTTTTGAAAATAATTTAAATAAATAAATTTTTATCTATTTTATTTTTTTACAGCAATAAACTTTAATAAAATTAGTAAAATTATATTCATAATGACAAAAGTTTTTATTCTAAATAAATATAAATAATTTATTCTCACATAAATATTATAATGCATTTTTTGTACATTACATTAAAGTTAGAATAAACTAATTATAAAAAAACTATACAAATTTAATTTAACGACTTAACATTAAAACAAAAATTATAATTATATAATAAAAAATTTTTATTCTAACAATTTTTTATCCTATTTTTCACTTTCTTCATCCCATTCTCGGCTGAAAACAGAAAAATTAAATTATTTAATTAAAAAATTTTTTTAATATACTTATTACAGGTATGTTGTTAAATTGAATAATAAATTTTTAAAACATAAGCAATAAATTTTTAAAAATTAGAAACTAAATTCTTTACATTAAAAATTAAGTTTGATTGTCAACAATAAATAAAGTTCTTAAAAACTTGAAATTTAAAAAAGGATTGGAAAAGCAATTTTTATATTAATTTTGGAACTTACCTTATAAAGAATCGCTTTTCTGGGTATTAAGATATAAAGATTACCATTTATTATCAAAATTCTGTTTCTAATTGGCAATGCATTTATAAAACATATGCAGATTATTAAAAAAATTATAAATTTCATATTAAAAATCATTTTACTGCTCTTTTCTTTTTTTTGCTGCTAAACTATATTATTTATCATTTGTTATGTCTGGAAAAGAATGAAAGTATTTAAAACTTAAAACCCATTATATTTATACAAGTGTATAATTTAAGGGAAACATAGATTTCTTAAGTTTACACAAAAAAAAATTTCCTCCCCACCAATTAAAGGTGACATGTGTTTCTATTGTATTGAAAATTATTAAAAACTGATAATGAACTTGACTAATCATTGAACTGCACGTTACCAAAGAGTGTTATAATGTGTTTTTCTATGCCATATTTTTTAAAATCAACTTTTTGGCTATTTGTCAAATATAAATAAAAGAACAATTCTTTCAGATAATTTCTGATTTTTAATATTTTTTATCAAAAATTTTATATCTTACTTATTTAATAGTGTACTTTCAGATACCAAAGTGTTCAAATAAAAAAATTTATTTATTTAATGAAAAAAAATTATTAAAAAAACACACGTTTTCAGGTCGTTTTGACCCATGTAAAACACATGTAAAACTTATAGAAATTTTGAAGAAACTTAAAACTTTTTATAAAGTTTGAAAGAAATTTAAGGATATCTGAAGAAATTTGAGGAATTTTAGTAGGATTTTAAAGAATTCACTAAATGCACTTTAGGGAAAACTAAAATTTACTGAATTTCCAATTTTTTACGGCTTTTCACTAGTTAAAACTAGAATTAACTAAAATCAATGATAACATTATTTTTGGATTTTAAATTGTAAGGTGAAGAGTGATACAAAAACATACAGGGTCAAACATTTTATTTCGCCTAATGTATTTTTGACCTTTATAAAAAATTTCAATACTTTAAGAAAATATTCTTATTTGTTTTGGGATGACGAAATGCATAATGATGTTCAAAAAAATAATTACATTTTATATAAAAAAGATGTTTTAAATTGAGAGACGGTGACATATATATATTACGTTGATGAATTTTACAACATTACATGATTCTTATACGTGAAAAATAATATTAACCTTCAGATTATTTGGAAGTCGTTGAATAATTAAATTTACAACTCTTTGCTCATGGAAAACGATTGTCATATATCATATTTTAAAACACGTGTACAAATAAATATGATTATCGATTTGTAACACATACATTTTTAAGCTCTTAAAAACTAACAAAAGATGTGAAACCTGATTTATGTTTGCAACAAATAAATTATATAATTTATTTATAATCTTTTAACATCCCGCGTAAAAATGAAAGTATGCCCAGCTGAAAAAGTTCTAAAGAATTTCACTAGAATCATTCTATAATTATAAATTCCAGTGAAATTTTAGAACGATTCAATAGAATTTTTATATGAATTCTAATGAATTTTATTGATTTTTGAATAGAAAGAATATATATTTGGTAAAATAATTATTTTTAACATTATATATGATTATTTAATTCAGTGAATTACATATAAATTTAAATGATTTAAACAATTTTTGCCTAAAATTTGTCATTGATATCAAATAAAAAAGGGCATCGTATCAGGTTTATTACCGAAAATTTTCTTGTGAATTTTAAAAACTGAATATTTTCTAAATGAAAATCAGCATTGAACTTAGTTTAGAAAAATGTATAATGTTTACTAGAAATAACCTACATATATAATATGTCAAAAATTTGGCCTTGATTTATCAAACTTTTATTATCGAACTACTTTTTTTTTTTTTTACTTTTTTTTTTTTAACTACTTTTTTATTTATCGAACTACTACAGAAATGACACATTGGTGAAAATATCGAAAATTTAACTCTTATCATAATATTAATGTGAATAATCTTAGATGAAAACAAGTTAGAAATAATGTCACTAAGAAAAATAATTTTTTTCTTGCATACTACATAACTCTATATACATGAGAATGTTCAAAATTTTGTTTTAGGTAAGTATTTCACAAATAGAAATTATAGTTTATTATCTTTATTATGTTAAACATTAGTTAAATAATTTCAGGGTTCATACCACTTTACATCCCTGAAAATTTAGCTTTTTATAGGTAGAATTTTTTTTACAATCTCTGTAGATGCTACTGATCTAAGTCTCTTTTAGTTCAACAAAGACACCCTAACTATATAGAAAGCGTCGTTTTATTAAATTTAAACATATTCTGTTGTTTAAAATTTAACAATTTTCCAGCCCTGCTAGAAGAACTGATGCAAGCTGTGTGTGTGTTTTTCAGATTAGAAAACTCAGAAATGCAAAAAGATTTAAGTTCAGTAGGATTGTAGTTATCGTTCAAATCAGAATTATTAATTTTTATGAAAAAATAATAAAATGGGAGTAGTTTAAATAAAGTTGTTCGAAAAACGGTGTTTTTTGACAGTTTTTCGGTTTAAAAAATAACAAAAATTATTATTTTTAAATAATTCTAACTTTCTTCTTAGTCCATTTCTGTTTCTGAATCTGAAAGAAGATTGTGGTAATTTACAATGAAAGGATATAAATACACATCTTCCTCTTAAAATGGTGATATTTTCAAAATTGGATTTCCATGATCAACGAATCGACATCTTAAATGCTTTTCAATATTTGCAGATAGTGAAATCGTTCATTTGCATAACTGTAGTGCCGAGTTCTCAAAAATATCGTATTCGTAGTCATCAGACTCACATGTTGTCTCTAAAGACGTAACTTCATCTAGACCAATTTTGATCGTAGTCTGTTTCACATAGTTATCAATTTCAGGCCACAAATTTTCTAAATCAATTAACATACTAATTGTCATTTTAGTAGATATTGAATGTTCATTTGCTTCATATGAAAAACCTTCTAGTTCCTGTGCGTATACTTCATCGTTGCTAGAAAAAATAATAGTTATACCGTTAATGAATTTTAAAATCAAATTAGAATTTTTTCGAGGAATACACAATGAGAAAAGCATGAATATCTTTTCCCTGGTACATTCCGTAATTTATAACCGTAATTGAATTCCATAAATTAGAGAGGAATTGTAAGGAAAATATATATGAAAATGTGGAGTTTCTATACCGTAATATTTTTGCCAAATATTTCCATATGGAATCAACATAAAGAGAAAAATAAAATTGATTTAATTGAGTTTTAGAATTTAGAACATTTTGTACACTTATTTAAAAGTTTTTACCTTATTGAATTCAAATGTTGTTGTTGGTGTACAATTTCATCAAGAAGTCTGTCAATCAAATCTGCTTCTAAACTAAGTAATTTTTTTAAAACACCAACGTTAATGAGGAATTCATGATTTCCACTACTCAATTGAACTAACCCTATTATAGCTATCAGTGATAAAGTTTTCATTATCAGTAAGGTGCTGCAATAAAATATTTATTATTTAGTGTATTTTTTTATTGTACTAAATTAAGAATAATTTGCTTTACAAAACAATTACAAGTTAGTGTAGAAGAAAGATTATTTAGATTTAAAGTGGTATTTGAAATAATATTTCCTTGTTTAAATATTACCTTAGTTTAAAAATAACTAAAAATATGTATAGAAATCGAAATGAAATTTCTAAAAAAATTTAAAGTAATGCTGCGTATAAAAGAAAACGAACTTGTGCTGATAACTGCTTCTGCGAAAAGGAAAGATGTAATTAAAGTAGTTTTGAGGTGACAGCTTTTCAAGTAATTAGTAGACAAACTTCATGCGTCCGAAAGAAACTAAAATATTTTTTGAACAATAATTTTAATTTAAGAAAAGAGAAATTTCTTTAGAAACTATATTTAACCTCTCTGCGGTTTGTCCCGAGTTAACTCGGGGTAAATTTACTGTACCAAAACGGTTAACCACGAGTATACTCGGGGTAACTAAATATTTTATAACTCTTCAACAATACATCGGAATTACATGATTGACGAAGGTGTTTTTCTTCGTTTTCGAAATAATAATTTTAAAAATTTTTATCCAAAAAGGTTAATTGAGGCTTCGTATCTTAAAAGGGCACTTTTTAAAATCATATTATTTCGAAAATGAAGAAAGACACTTTCGTTAAATTTAAATCGAAGATAAATTATAATGTTAGAAAAATATTTGCAAAATCCCAATTTCTTTATAGGTCAGACCATGGACGTAAGAAATATAGGGACATGGCATATAGATGCGGGGGGATACTTTGTAGTCCGTAAGAAGAGGCGTTGGCGAATTGCTAATTGGTTAAGAAAATGTACGTGTTATAAGGCTATTTAAGTTCGGTGGGGGAAAATTCAAGATGGATGCTAACTGGTGCACCAACATTGTATAGAAAGTGTATGGGATAGAGTCTAATTTTTTTTTACTTTTTAGTCTTTTTTGATGATACTTTTTTTGACATTTTTCTCGAATGTTTTGATTTTTCCTTTTTAAGTTATTTTTGTTTTTTGGAAAAAGTTGAAATTCTGTATCATCAGAGATTCGTTTTAAACACAATTGACCATTTCCATTTGGAGAAAATGAATGGTACTCTAGTGTTCCAGGAATGGTTTTTGCTTCTTTAAACCTTTCAGCTAAAGTCTGCGTCATCTGGACATGATCTTCCTTAGAACTAAAGAATATTACAGTATCCTTTAAATTAATTTTTGCCCATTCGTATAAGGCTGGAGCATTTAAAATTTGATTTTCAGAAGAACGTTGCAAACTAGCTCTTGCTGCCAAACGCTTTAAATTTCCTCCGATTCCATCGCACGGACCTTTTCCATGTGCAGTTGCATGGAAATTCCAGTCTGCTGAAATGTTAAAATCTTCTTTATGATGAAGAAGATTAATGAAATTGTATTTATTTTTAAAATGTTGCGATGCTCCATCGGTAAAATAATGAATGAATTTTGGACTGAAATGTTCTTTGAGATAGGCAATAATTATTTGCTGATAAACATAAACCGCAACTGTGTCATGCTGTAAATTATCAGAAATTATTGCCATACTAATATGTTTTATTTCGTTTTCAAATTTATAATTAACAATGACAGTGAATATGGATGTTTGATCGTTATTCCAATGCGCCGCTTGAGTTGCATTTTGAATAACGTAAGCATAGTTCTCTGCGAAATCAGACATTATTAAAAAATCTCCTTCATTTAAATTGCTTTTTAAATTTTTTGGAAATAATGTTTGACTTTTTGCATAAAAATCGTGTGTTTTAAGGTCAACAATTTTTTCACAAAGCCTGTCCACAAAATCGTCTACGTTTGCTACTTCTGTAACTAAAGTGGTCCTGTCTGTGTTTTGCCAATGCTGAAATCGAATTTCTTCAACGCAGTCCTTATCTGGCAGATCCATTAAATGCTTTTTTAATATTTCTACACCAGGGCAATTTGAACACTCGTTAAAATTGCATTCTGTTGTAACTTCACTACACATTAAAACCTTTAAACAATCATGGTAGTCTTTTAATTTTAAATTCGACAATTCCATTATTTTTTCAATATTTATTGCATCCAGCATCAATTTCACATTTTCATGGTAGACACAGACACAAACCGTGTGAGTACCACTTCTTCCAGCTAGAACACAATGCCGAGGTCTCAATTGTGCAAAGCGTGAAAACCCAATTTTAACATTCTCGTTCTCTTGCTTAAATTTAGAATACAGTTCTGACAAATTGACCAGAATTAACCTTTTTTTGTACATGCTCACGGGTTCCATCTTCTTTTTTTATAGATAAGAAATCCTTCATTCCAGGGAGCAGTCTACTATTCTCATCACTTTCATAAAACTGTTTTACACTGTAATAAAAAGGACATTGCTTTATAACACACGTCGTGTAATTTTACTCTGCAAAACTACAACGTCTGATGTGATAAATTTACGTTGCTACACGTAGTGATATAACCTACAAGTGCAATTCTACACAACTTTGTGTAACTTTATGACGTCCTATAATGTTATTTAACTCAGATCTTGTAATTTTACCAAGTGGGACATTGGAAATAATTTGCTTCACGTCCGACGTAGTAAATTTACATTTTGATGTAAATGTATTGTAAGATTGCAATAATACATCGTTTTTGTGTTATTTTACAATCGGGTGATTATTTAACCTGTCGTGCGTGTAAAGAAACATATCGCTTATTGTAAATTCACATTTCACATAACAAACGCGCAGCATATACGCGCAGCATATATTGCAACTGTGAGGTTAGCTTGCTTATAGCTCATATCGCTTACATATTTTCACAAGTTCACAATAAAGATAAAGTGCATGTGGTGATCATTTTGGTTTAAACAGCAAGGTAAGATAATTTTAATTCTTTTTGTCAATAATGTAAACCATTGCAGTGAAATAATTATATATATAGCAATGTTTCCTATGTCATATACAAATCAGAAATTTCACTGTATATTAATAACTGTAAGATGAAAGTTTTGAAAATTAAAAAAGTAATATTAGATATATTTAATAATAATTTAAACAAAAAAGAAATATAAATAAATTTGTATTAAAAAAGATATACTTGTTTCAGTGTTCAACATTTGAAACGCGACACCTGCTGGAGCCGCATTTACATCTATTCTTTTGTTCTTTTCCCAAAATTAAAAAAATGATTTCATGTAATCTCTGCAATTTGACCTTTCACAGCTTATTTCTTTACAATAAAACATCAATTTGTCCACACAAATGATGTTGGAAGTACTTTCGTCTGCAAAAGCAAAAATTGCAATAAACTTTTTGTAGATTATGTCAAATTTAAAGCGCATAATTATCGTATACATAAAAATAATTTAATAGCAGAATTAAAATTAAATGTGAAATATAATTGTAGACAAAAAGATTGTGTTTTCAGAACTGATAACTTTTACTTTATGAAAAAACACTTGCTCGGACACTTTAAATCCAACAATTGTGCAGTTTTGTGTTCAATTCCACCCTGTTGTGAATCTAATTACATTTTTAATTCCGAAAACTCTCTTAGAATTCATTTTGCAAGATTGCATAAAGCAATAGATTTCTGTAATAATGTCAAAATTGATAGCACTCATAAAATTTTAGAAGATAATTGTTTCGAAATTGATCTCAATAAAACCTCTGACGATAATCTTTTCCACATTGACAGTATCGATAAAATTCCCGATGACAATTATAAAGCAGATAGTATTTCTTTCTCTGATGAAAATTCATTGAAGCCTATTAAAAAATATACACCAACATCTATGGAAAATAAAAACCCTACTGAAATGTTAGGACGGTTATATGCGACGTTATTAGCCAATAATTTTATAACTGAAAATGTTGTACAAAAAGTTGTTGAAGGAATTGATTCCACTGTAAGATCATGTTCTGAGAAATTCTACTCTTCTATTGAAGAAATAAATTTTCCCACCGAAAAAACAGCAGAAATTGTAAAAATTTTTAACGATAGCTTTAAAGGTTTAAATGATGCTCATGATGAAAAATCTGGAGTTCTTAGAAATAGCTATAATAGAGAAAAATATTATAAAAAAAATTTTAATATTGTAAACCCAGTACAAGTTCCATTTACAAATAACGAAAAAACGAATAATTGCTTTCATTACGTCTCGATATTAGAAACCTTAATGGCATTATTACAAAACGATGAATTGCGTAAATATTGCACTACACATGAAAAAAGAAAAATCGAAAAATAAGTTTGGATATTTCGATATATCAGATGGAAATTTAGTCACAAAAGATCCATTTTTCAACAAAAACGCATTACAGATTATTTTATTTCAGGATGCTTTCGAAACTTGCAAGCCGTTAGGCTCAGCTAAAGGTAAATATAAAATTATTGGAATTTACATGATTTTAGGAAATTTGCCTCCTTATCTTAGATCGAAGACTAAACACATTAAACTCGTCGCTTTAGGTTTTGAAAAACACGTAAAACAGTTTGGGTGGAATGCATTTCTTAAGAACGTATTAGATGATTAAAAAATTTTGGAATCTGAGGGAGTCACAATTTGCAATTCGGTAAATACTTTTCACTTCACGGGAAGCCTATTATTCATGTTAGGCGATAGTTTAGGAAATCATGATATAGGTTGCCTGTCTAAAAATTTTAGTACAACGGCTTGTTTTTGTCGATTCTGTCTTATAACAAAAACTCAATTAAAATCGAATAATTTTTCAGTAAAGGAAATAAGAACTCCAGAAAATTATAAGAAATCAGCAGATGAAGCGCAAAAAAGTGGTAAATTATGCGAAGGTGTTTGGAGGGATTCTCCACTCAATGAACTTAAAAACTTTCACGTTTGCAAGCCGGGATTAGCGCCTTGCCTTGAACACGATATTCACGAGGGATTTGGTCCTTTTGATTTAATGCTCGCGTTTAAATATTTCGTTGTTCAAAAGAAATGGATAAAAATTAATGCTTTAAATTACCACTTGCAACATATACGGTTACCAACTGATTCAATGACTGAAAAAATTCCAATTATCAATTTAAAAAAATTAAAAGTGTGTGGAAGTGCTAGCGAAATTAGAAAATTAATCCTTATTTTGCCGATTGCCATTTATCATGTCATTAAAGATTCGGAGGATCCTGTATGGACAATGATATTAAAATTAAGAGAGACTAGTTCTTATGCATGTTCTTTAGCACTTTCTTTTGGTCAAGTTGCGCAATTTAAAGAAATTATTAATGATTATCTTTTACTAAGAATTGAATGCTTTCCCAAAATAAGTTTACGACCCAAACACCATTTCTTAGCTCATTTTCCTCAATCGATTGAAGACTTTGGTCCACTAAAATATGTTTCAACTTTGCGATCAGAAAGCAAACACAGTTTTTTTAAACGTCATGTAAGGCAGCTTAAAAATGTAAAAAATGTTACCAAAAGCTTATCAGAAAAGCATCAATTAGGTGATTTTTTACACAAAATTAAAGAACCTTTCATTATTATTAATAATGGAGAAGAATATTCTTCCGAAAAGTATAAAATTTTGTCCCCAATTGTTGAAAAGAGTAAGGAATTTCATTACGTAGCAACAAATGTTTTCTTCAGAGGAATTAAGTATAAACAAAATGACAGCATAATTGTTGGTAAAAGTGCATACGGGAATTATGTAATTTGTCAAATCGAGTTTATTCTTGTAAACGACGAATTTAATAACATGCACTTTGTTGGTACATATTGCGAATTAATAGAAAATACAGACCTAGGTGTTTTTGAGATAGTAAAAGAGGATTTAGAATTTAATACTTGTAAAGAATTGAGAATTTTTCCTTTCTCATCATTGCTTTCTCCTGATCCTTTGCTCAAATTCTTTTTAAAATCCTTTCCTGTTTTTCTTTTAAAATATGAACCCTTCAATACGGACCTTTAAGTGAGTGAAATGTATACAAAAATTTTATTGTTTTAATTTAAAAATAGTAAATAAATTTTGGTAATATGTTTTTTATATATTAAGTGACTTTATTACGTTTCAGATGCCAAAAGTCTTCAAAGTATGGAGTCATAACTGTTTGAGCAAAAAAGCAGTCTGCCTTGACACACAAGAAAATTGCATGGTAATGCTACTATCTAAAGGAAGCAAATCTTTAAATATTTGTGGGAAAAAAATTGTTCTTGCTACTGATGGTACGGAAATAGAGGACGATGAAACATTAGAAGCTTGCCGGGATGACGGTGAACAATTCATGATTTTGCAGGATAATGAAATTTGGATGTCTCCGACAAAACTTGTTTCTTCAATAAACAAGGAAGTAAGAATTAATTATAAGAATTAATTATAAAAAAAAGGGAAAAAGTAGATGGAGGTAATTGTACAGTTTATTTATCATTAGAATTTTAAAGGGAAATTAACCGAATTTAAAGCTAAATAAATATCGGTTAAAATTATAAGATAAAGAAAATGTTTACAACCCTGAATGAGCTTTATAAAAATCTAGTATTTAAGCTATAGATATAAACTTATAGATTATACCTTAGTGTGTGTAAATTTATTATTTGTAATCTAAACAACCTATATTTACTATATATATGGGTAATAATTATTACAACTTTAAAGCTTAACTTTGTATATAATTAATGGAAATTGTACTTATTACGAAGCATTTAAACAATTACAGAACTTATTCACAACACTAATTTAAAATGGAACATAAAGAAATTAAAATAATTAATTGGAATGCACATAGCATTACCAATAAAAAATTGGAACTAGAACAATTAATACACTACACACAACCTCATATTATCTGTATTACAGAGACTTGGTTGCGACCTAATCAGTCATTTAATGTTCATGGATATTATGTACACAGGAAGGATAGATTGGTCGGAAGAGGAGGGGGGGTTGCCGTGCTTGTTGAAAACAGTATGGTAACTTCGGCCTTAGAGATTTCTCTGTCCGATCCTAGGGATATACAGGAATCAGAATATATGGGAATTAATATCCATTCTTTATCTGGCATTCTTGAGCTTGTCGTAGTTTATTCTCCATTAAATTCAAATCCAGAAACCGAAACTTGGCAAGAACTGTTTACTAAAACTCAGAATAATAATACTAGTAGAATTGTTTGTGGGGATTTTAACGCATATTCATATAGCTGGGGGTGCATGCACATGAATTCCAAGGGTAACCATATAACCGATGCGCTGGAACTCTGTAACATGATTCCTATTAATGATAAACATTCAACTTATATACCGAAATTTGGCGAAAATGCAAATAATTTGGATTTAATCTTTACTCCTACTTCTTTAAGCGATAAAACTAAATATAAAATCTTAGACTCATCCTTTGGTTCAGATCACATTCCGATTATGTTGGAGTATATAATCAAACCCAATAATGTTACCAACAATTCTACTAGGATTAATACTCGTAATGTTAACTCGGTGGTATTTCGGGAAAAATTAGAAACCCTCACTTTGGAGTTAAATGAGGCACGTATGGAGATGCTTCCGGGTCCTTTCTCAGAATGTTTTATCAACAGAATATTGAAAGATCTTCAGGAGAGTGGTGCACATTACCCTGCGGATTACAAAGGTAAAAGAAAGTTTGTAACGGTTCGTTTCTATTCTTGATCCTTATGGGAAGGAAATTATGATCAGGATAACCCGGGGTAAAGAATGACGCAGATGATTAATAAAAATATTCTTGTTTTTATTGGATAATCTTCTTAGCGACGATCCTGGTACTTATAAAATAAACTTAGGACAATAATTTTGATAAATCACTTAATTAGAGTTCATCTCGGTGAGTGAGTAATCAAGTAGAATGTTCGATATGCACGTAGGTAAGTTATAGTATTTCGCATTCACAGGTAAGTTCATCAACTAACTAAAATCTTTTATTTCAGGTTGTTTTTTAGTAATGAAAATTAAATTTGGAATTTTTAATTTAAAAAACAAGTTAATTAACTAAACTTGGAATCGCGTGTGGTAAGTCGCGTGTGGTAAGTCCCTGCTTTCTTCCAGGTAGATCACTGCGTAAAAAATAAAATAAAACTAACTAAACTTTCGATTGTTTCAGGTAAATCGCGGAGCGGAGATTTAGTCTTTCAACGAATGGATTCACTACGCGTGAAGTGGAGAAAAGGTGAGTATCTAAGTCCCTGCTCTTTTCCAGGTAAGTCACCATGTAAAAAATAAAATATAACTAACTAAACTTTCAATTGTCTCAGGTAAATCGCGGAATGAATATTCGATTTTTAAATAGGTAAGTTCGTTACGCGGAAGATGGATAGAATCTAAGTAGCGAGCCAATTATGGCAAAGATCACGAAAATTTGGGCTTGGGATAGCGCTCGCAAGAATGAGCCACAGTTGGTGTGATACGCGCTGTAGGTATGGCCCTGAGATTTACCGACGTATGATTTCTCGATGTGATTTATCGTTTCAACGGGATACGTATCGACGGCAGCAAGGGACGCGATCCTCGGGAGTTTCTTCTTCATCGACGGTCGCGTATAATCATGCACATGGGAAAACACTCGGGAGTTAGACGTTTTCTTCTCGCGGATTCTCACGCTAATATAAAAAAAGCACTCGCGGTTCGTAGCACTCGCGCACTAATTAAGAATTTCGATCGCGGTTAGGGTCAACTCGCGGATTACACTTGAGGAATGGCGGCCGAGGTGGCGCTCACCATGGTAAGTAGGATTTCTTCCCAACAGCCGAGATGGCGTTCGCTGAGAGTGGATCGATAGGATGCTAGACTAGGTCCTTTACCGAATTTTGTGAGCAACTTAATTTTAATAAGGGTATGTCTAACATTTGGCGAACGGTTAAGGGAATGATCTCCAAATCAGGAATAATCACTAATAACGTTCACACCTATGAAGAGACAGAAGAGATTATAACAATGAGAGATAACTTAATTAAAGAACATATTCCTCCTCGCGCTCACACCCTTATTGAAGTCAATGATTTGGACAACCTGATGAACAATGGATTCAACAAGTATGAGTTTGAGTCTGCTAAGATTTATACCCAATCTGGAGGTGGCTATAGACCGATATCTCTTACTTCCTGCATGGCTAAACTTTTTGAAAGAATAGTTCAAAGGAGGCTGGAGTATCTTTCTGAGGCTGAAGAGTGGATACCTAACTTCCAGTTTGGTTTCAGACGGGGCAGGTCCGCGATGGATGCAGCATCACTTCTGGTCAGTAACATCTACAGAGCTTTTGGTAGGGGAGAGTATGTTGTTGCTTTGGCCTTGGACATTAAAGGGGCGTTCAGCTCAGTTAAGACCGAAGCTATCATTCAACAGCTACTAGAGTTAAAGGCTACAACTCGCATTATCAATTTTATCAGTTTTTTAATATCGGAAAAATATATATATATTTCTTTCTTTCTTTCCTTTTATTCCTCTTTAAGGATAGCACTTGGAGTCATGAAAACTACCCCTATCTAAATTATACTATCAGAGGCAGGATTTTCAGACTTAAACTTGAATAGGGCAGAAAAGGCTCATCAATTTATTGTGAGAAATTTACAATGGACTAAAAACCCATTAATTCAAAACCTTACAGACACTTTCATAGAACTAAACACATTCAAAAATAAACTTAAAATAGAGAAATTGGGATTACTGTCGGCATTTGAATCGATGGAGGGAATGAGGGAGGTTATGCTAACATCCCTCAATCCTTCATATTTCGATTTACCTTGGCCGCTGATTTGTGATCAACTTAACACAAATACTTCATATGGACTAGATATTAAAGAGGCGCAATGTCCAACTCAAAAACTTGAAAATATCTTACATTCTAAATATCCAAATAAAACACTGGTATATACAGATGCGTCCTCTAACTCTTCGACAAATAGGTCAGCCATTGCATTTCATATTCCTTCGAAGAGCATTGATTATGGAGTAAGAACCTCCAATCTTCACTCTACTCTATCTCTTGAAAATCTAGCCATTATTACCGCAATACAACACTCTTATACATTTGACATTAGGGACATTTTAATAATCTCTGATTCTAAATCTGCTTTAAATTTGATCTCCAAACCCATTCTGTATAATTCTAAAACCCCTTTATTCACTAAGCTGATAATTGAATTAACGGAAAAATACAGAAGCAAGGGCCTGGGAGAGGTGGAGTTCCTCTGGATTCCGGCTCATGTTGGAATCCCGGGGAACGAAACGGCTGATAGGCTCGCAAAAATCGCGACAGAATTCCCTACCTCCATGAGAAATCATTTGGTATTTGATGATGTTAAAAAAATTATCAGAGATGATTGTTTCTCTTTTACTTTTGCCGGGTACAATACTTGAAATCAAAAGATTTTTCAATCAAAATAGAATTGCAATTTGATCCATAAAGTAGTTTGTATATATGAGAACATAAAGATACAAGAGAAAAAAAAAATTTTTGATATATAGTTCCTTAATAATTCAATTTAATTATTTTTAGTACTATTTATGGATTTCCTAAAAATATGATGTCCTGAAACCAAACCAATACTAATACCTTCCTACTTGCCTTCACCACAAGAAATTTTCATAAATAAGAGTGGAAAGTGGAAGTAGGAAGTGAGAGTGGAAGGTGTGAAGTGAGAGTGGAAAGTGGAAGGTAGGAGTGGGAGTGGGAAGTAAGAGTGAATTAAAAATAATCTGAATTGTACATTTAGAAAATTTTGTAAAGCATTTAATACAATTTTTAATTGTATACAATTAATTTTTAATTCAATAGAATTCACTATTTCTCTTCTCATCGTAAACATTTTTCAACAAACAAGGCCGACGAAATTCATTGCCATATTCGTGGAACCATTTATTTGCGACTAGAAAATAAAATTTTTTTTTGTAAATTAAAAATTATTTTCATTTGAGTACAAAACACTTTTTTTTTAAACATGGAGACATATGACAACCATCACAATAATTAGGTGAATAAAATTAAATTAAATATACCCCATTTTACTCTAGAAACAACACGACATCCTGCATGCACTGTATAATAGTCTAAGTCTCCATTCGGTGAAGTATTGAACCAGAAAACAGCATTTCCTTTTTTTGGTGTCAAACTAATATTCAGATGAGTGAAAATTGTTTTGCCACCTTCTTGAACATCGTTTAACTAAAAAATTGTTTTAAATATTAAATATTAAAATTTTAAAACGTCTAAATACTAATTTGCTTGGAACTGCCTTTAATGCCAAAAAAATCTAAAAATGAAACTAAATTTTTTTAATTAATTCCCACTTACGTAAAACATTAGTGTTCCAATTCGATTTCCAAGACCAACAGTCGGAAATGGATTATCCTGGAAAAAACATAGCTTACAAAAATTGAAAGTCAATAATTTCAGAAAAAGTTATTATCTCAAGGGCAGACCCTGTTGTTGCTAAAATCAGTGTGCTCATTAAAGTATCCTCCTGGTTTATAATATGCAATTTGTAGAGTATCCGAAGCATCAATATTCAAATTTGTTAAATGTCCTGCTCGTTTGTTTATAGACTTAACTTTTGGATAATAGTCTTCATAAAGCCAAGCACTTTCAGAAATTCGTTCTTTTGATGATTGTATTTCTTTTTTACTTGTGAAAATTGTAGATGGTGCCAACTTAACAACAGGAAGAAAACAATGTTTTCAAAAAAGAAAGGGAATTAAAACTTACTTTTTCTGATACATTCACATTTACACTAGTAAATAAAATAATAAAATTAGAACATTTATAAATATAATAATAAAATAGGAACATACGACGGGATAAGCCTCTTCTTGGAGCATTTCTATTTCTTTATCGGTAAGAACATTGTGATAGATTACAATTAAAGGATCCAAATACACATCTTCCTGTTTGAATGGTGCTATTTTCAGAAATGGATTTCCATGATCAACGAATCGACATCTTAAATGCTTTTCAATAACTGGAGATAGTGAAATCGACCCATTGCATAATTTTAATGCCGAGTTTTCAAAAATTTCATAATCCATAGGAGGACTTTTTGACACTAAAGATTTTACTTTATGCGGGCCAAGTTTGTTCGTGCTCTCTGTCACATAATCCTCAATTAGGTGCCACAAATATTCTAATTTTTTTAGAAAATTTACATTAAAGAAGAATTCACGATTTTCATTAATCGATGTTATTAACCCTATTGTAAATATCAGTGATAAAATTTTCATTATCATAAAGGTGTTGTATTAAAATATTTATTACTTAGTGTATTTTTTTAAAGTACAAAATTAATAAATAATTTACTTTACAAAACTATTACAAGTTTAGTATAGAAGAAAGATTATTTAGTTTTATAATGCTTTTTGAAATACTACTTGTTTAAATATTAGTTTTAGTTTAAAAGTAACCAAAAATTACTGATGTATAGAAATCGAAATGAAATTTTTAAAAAAATTTAAAGTGCGTAATGTTAAATAGAAAACGAACTTGTGTTGATAACTGTTTCTACGAAATGGAAAGATGTAATTAAAGTATAGCTCTGAGGTGACAGCTTAAATTTTCATGTAATTAGTAGATAAAGTTCATGTCAGAAAGAAACTAAAATATATTATTTATACTGAGTCAATTCATATAGGAAACGAATCCAAAAATCTTTTATAAACTACATCATAAGAAAAGATTTAGTTATTGTTTAAATTTTATTAGTTATTTAATTTAAACTCTAATTTGTTCTTTATTATATTTTTTACAATTATCCTACAAACGAAAGATAAAAATTATCTCATCTAGTAGTGGATAAAGTAGAAAGAATAAAAAGCTGAATTACCGAATAATTATATTGGAACAAATCAAAACTTTATCATAAATTTTATTTACATTTTCTTTTTTTTTATAAAATTCTTTGAATATAAAATTCTTCTTAATAATTAGTACTCCCTAAGAATATAAATATTAATATATTTTCTATTATAATACGTAACTTAGATGTATAAATCATTTACAGGCACTTTTAATAAATTTTATTATTTTAATTCATATTATTATTATTCACGATCGGGAAATAATTCATCATATGTGAAAAATTTGCAAATTTTATTAGCAATTTGTAGAATGTCTTCTGTAATTTTCTTTTCTAAATTTGGTGTTGTACTGTCAATAATTTCTTGACGGCTATTCTCTAAAGCTGCATTAATTGCTGAAGATAGTGTACTGTCCGGTCCTTCCTTTGGTGTAAACTTTGATGTATAATCTTTTATATGTAATTTCGTACTCATTGAAGGGAAAAATACGTATTGCTTTCCTTTGCGCTCTATTACTTTAAAATACATAATAACTTTTGCTGAAACATCACCTGAAAAAAATTTTTTTTTTTAATTAATTGCATATCATTACAACTTGACCTTTTAACGCCCCTCCTAAAAGCTCAATATCTATAAATAAAAATTAGAATTTTTCATTCAAATTTTGTACGTTTTCTTCAGCTTCAAAAAAATGTAGATCAGAAATGGGGTTCACTATACGTAAAGCTAATCTCAGATGGCAGCACCATAGCAAGATTTGTCTAGCGCTTAATTTTTGATTTCGCGAAAAGTCATATTTGTTTTACAAACAAATAAACGAAGTAAATAAATACTTTTTGTGGAATTGTGAAAAGTTAAAAATTGAATTACTTGAGCGAGGAATATGTGTCGCAGGAAAAAAGACGGTTTTGCAAGTCACAGTATCGTAAAAGTATAGATAAAAAAATTAAGGTTATGTTGCCTGTCATTAAAAATATTGTAAACACATTTTAATTTTGAATCTCTTAACATCTTTAAATAGTTTTCCGTATTTTATTATAACCAATATTTCTGATCTAATGATTTTATTCTTCATTTATATTGTTAATTGATATTATGCAACAAATCACATTTAAAATTTTGCGCCATAAAATCTTATAGTGGTGCTGCACTCTACTGGTCAAGTTTGGCTGTGTGGAACCCCATTATCTAAAATTTGCTATTGTTTGAAAAAAATTAAAAATAATTGTTAAAATTTACGAATTTTTAAAATATTCTTGATTTTTATATATCTTATGAGTGGGAGGGTTTTTGAGGTCGGTGATTTCGAAATAAATTATACTTTTTCAAAATTCAAAATAACGGATCCAAAAAACATTTTTATAAAGTAATTCGTCGTATTGAATCCGCTATTTTGAATTTTGAAAAAGTAACATCAGATTAGAAATCAGTGACCCCAAAAACCCCTTAATTACAAAGTTCCAAGCGAATTCGATGAATTAAAAAAAATTTGTTCGCCATATTGGATCCACCATTTTGAATTTTGAAAATCAACTTCGAATTCATAATCAGCGCTCCTAAGAACCTCTAAGAACATGAAATTTCTTATTTGTACATTTAGATGATTTTAAATGATTGACAGGGTACTTACTTGCAACTATATTAATAGGTCCCGTTCCAGCAACTGGCACAAGAATTTTTGCATTAACATCGTAATCTGCTTTAAGCGTTACCTCCTTAAATGTTACTTCAACTGTGAACGTATTTTTCTCCAAATCTGAATGCAAACTGTTTACTATGAAATTAGAAAGACCATATAGTTTAACGTCGCGAGCAAATGCTTTAAAATTTGGTAAATCAGCCAATGCAACACGATCAATATACATTGGTTCTATGGAAGGAATTTTGAATTCTGGAATGCCTTCTCTGAGTTTCTCTCTCATTCCTACGACAGAATTAAGAATGCATTTGTCTAATTCAGGATTTCGACGTCCACAGATTTTGATGTAAGATGCTGCAAAAAATAAAATTAATTTAGATGGAATTGTAAATAAGATAATATAAGGCACGATAAATAAATAATTTAATATTGCTAACTTTCTGTACATCTTTTTTCTTAAATTTCAAGAAAACGAATGTATAGTGAATTACGAAAAATTAATTGACATGTTAAAGATTAAAAAGAAAAAATTTGTTATTTCAGATTCAGTTCATCATAATTTGCATATTCTGTAAATGTATATATTAAATAAAATTTAAAGAAATAAGGAAATGTAAATGAAACTAGATTAAAGAAATGTGAAGGATATTTCAAGTTCCATCGTCATTGATATCGACAGCTGGAATAGAAGACGGCAAAATTGATGGTTGTTTTTTTCGCGACATGTAATAAATATACATCTTGGAACTTTTAATCGTGTATTTATAATCATTTCAAGAATATATATAAATTTTTTCCTAACGAAATTATAACTCAATTAAAATATGTAAGGATGTTTAGTTACTAAAAAACCTAGGACAAAAAAATTTTTGCTACATAAAGTCGTAATGTGGATTTTAGGGGTGAAAGAAACTCGCATCTTCAATGAAAGGTGACAAGATATTTTTTTAAAACTATCAATTTTTTATGAAATTCATTTTTTAGGGGTTCTTAGGGTCACTGATTACGAATAAGATGTCAGAATTTCAAAATTCAAAATGGCGGTCAAAATTGAAAAAATTATTTTTTTTAAATGAAATTTGCTATTTGAAGGTTTCCAGGGTCACTAATTACTAATCTGAAGTCAGATTTTCAAAATTCAACTCCAAATTTTTTTTTAGCAAAAAATTGCAAAAAACGTTTAATTCTAGCCTCTTACAGTGACCTGACTCCTTAAGAATTATTTTCACCCCTAAAATCCACAAACGCTCTTGATCCAGCAAATCGACTATTATCGTAACCTAGAAATTTAATTGTTTGATAAATATTAAAATTTAAGGTTTTAAAATAATTACAATTTCAATTCATTGCTACTTTAAACAATTTGTAACTGAAAATCGAAATGTATGACTTAGAAAAAAATAGTCGTAACTTATTTATAGCATTTTTGGATCGTTGATTTCGAATTTGAAGTCAGATTTTAAAAATCCAAAATGGCGTATCCAATATGGCGAACGATAATATTAAAAATCTAACGGATTGGCTTGAAACTTATTACTCGAGGGTTTTTGGGGTTACTGATTACAAATTTGATGTCAGATTTTTAAAATTAAAAATGGCGGATCCAATATGGCGGAAGAAAAAATTAAAAGTCAAACAGATTTGATTCACATTTGTGACTCGAGTGTTTTTTAGCTTCCAAATTACAAATCTGAAGCTACATTTAAAAATTTTTTAAATTAAAATTTCAGTAAATTGTTGAATTTGTATAAAATATTGTCTTTAGGGATTATTGTTAAAATAATCATATTCACCAGCAACAATTCGCGCTAAATCTCGCGGCTAACTTTTTGCTGACTTTTTTTAAAATAAAATTTGCATTTTTGAAACTAATAGAACTTAAAAATTTTCTAATTTAAATTTTTGTTGAAAACACTAAAAAAATTCAATTTTGAAGAAATTAAAAATAATCGCAAAAATTCCCAATTATCTTTATAAATAATAAAATTCTTCTTCAAAGTTCAATAATTTTCATAAATATAAAAAAATTCTTGTCCTAATTTGAATGATTTTCAAAAAAATTTTCTAATTTCAATAATTTTCAAATATCTAAGATTTTAATAAAATTTCCCAAAACGAATTCAATTATTTAAAAAAAAAAATTTTATAAAATTGTATGAAAACATTTAATTATTTTCATAAATAATAAAAATTTAACAGGAATTTAATTATTTTCATAAAAAATAAATTTTTTTTTTTTAATTTAATTATTATTTTCATAAAAAATAATTTAAAATTGTAGAAAATAATAATTGAATTAAAATTATGAAAATAATTTTGATGAAGTTACAGTAACAATATTCTTATAATATAAAATAATGATTTTATCTCTCGGTCATCTTTAATTTTTTTGGAAACATGAAGAAGTCGATCACTCCGAGTCTTCAACTCGGAGCAATCGATATCTTCATGCAAAACAAATAAATTTTTTATTTATTAATCATAGTTGTTTAACAATTTTCTAATCTATCTAAAGTTAACAAAAAATTAAATATTCGTCATCAGCGACACCAAAAATCCACTAGTAACAAGTTTCAAGCTAATCAAATTGATTTTTAATTTTTTTTTGTCCGTCATATTGGATCCGACATTTTGAATTTTAAAAAACCGACATAATATTTGTAATCAACAATCCGGAAAGCCTCCGAGTAAAATGTTACAAGCAAATGCTATTAATTTTTCATTTTTTCCTCCATATTGGATCCGCCATTTTGAAATTTTGACGTTTTAGAGAAAATCTAACGACAGATTCGAATTTAGCGTGAAAAATATACGTTAAAAATCGTTGTTACTTTTCCGGGTTCAAAAGTTGATTCAAAATTAATTCTACAAAAATTTTGTAAAATTCTGAATAATTATTCTTTTATTTTGGACTTATTTCGCTAAATAGAGTAAATTTTTCCTTTTAGACTATAAATTTCTAGAGTATATGACCTGATCAATCGTTTTAAATTTAAAAATAAGCTACTTTTCAATTAATTTCGGTTTTAAGACATAATTGGTTTCCCCTTGTTTTTCCAGTGAACTCTATAATAGCCTTGCGTGATAAATACTTCCGCATAAATTCCTATTGGACACAATCACATCAATAAATACACATCACCGAAAAATAATTATATGCTGCATTTTGAAATGTTCTCTTTCAGCTTTTTAATATCTACTATTACGCATCATAAAAAGAAGTTGATTCACTATACATTAAAATTAATGAGCAATTTGGAAGCGAGAGAAAAATATTGTTAAACTGAAAAAATTCATGTTCTCAGCAAATTAATATTTAAAACAACTTTGATCGTAAAAGTCCAGTTTTGACGACAATACCTGCGCTTGTTTGACGAGTGTCAGCAGCTCTTTTGCACTACATAACTTATAAAAACAAATCTTTAGTGAGTCACACATCAAATTATTCGTCATTAGCAGAGAATAAAATTAACATTTTTTTTTTTATTGATCTACATGCAATTGTGAAATATTCATTCTTTAAATTCTTTAACTAAAAAATAGTTTAACTTTTAATATTTTAAAATTATATAAAAATTTTCTTCTGGAAAATTCTGAAAATATTTTTATTTTTGCGAAAATTTCAATATCAATGCTTTTTTGATGACTTTCTTCGACTAAAATAGAATATTCAACGAAATCACTTAAATTTTATCCAATTAACAAGAAACAATTTGTTTGGAAATTAAAATTGTTAGAAAAAAAAAATTTGAGGAAATTAAAAATTTTAGAAAAGAAGTTTCATTCCATGTTTTTTAAAATTAAGAAGGGTTGATAATGTAACAAATTCCCTCTTTTTGTTTGTCATCATACGACTTTAAATTCTTTCTTTATGTTTGACGTTTGAAGCATAAATAATTTAAAATTATTCAATTTGTTTAATTGCTGTTGTTGAAAACGTAGTGTCTACTAAATTCGCAAAAAATATTTTCAATAATTTTAATTTCGTTATTTTGCCAGACAACATTTTTTTAGAAATAGTCCTAATCCTCAAACGTCCAAAAGAAACATTTTTGTAAAAATACTTTTCCATATTTCTTTTAAATCTATTTAATCTATTAAAAATTTATTAAAATTTTATTTTACATTTGTTCTATGATCTAGTTTACTTACGAATTTCGGCAAAAATGCACGCTGACAAAAGTAGGAGATTTAAGAAAATGATGTACATTTTTATGTATGAATTATATGTGAAGAAAATAAATATTGTTATTTGTCAACAACGTACAGTTTAACACTGTCAATAGTTGATTCTGTAGAATCGTATTTATATATTCGAGGCTGCATGATGGCCTTAGAATTATTCTGAATCAGTAAGTTCAAGGTTACACCTAGAAACCACCTCTATCCTTATGGTCAGCAATCCCCACTGTGAGTGCCTCAACATTTACAAACACTGATAAAGTACAAACAAACACGAGTTTAGTTTGACAATTACAATAGCATGATTTTCAGGTAGGCTAATCAAAGTAAAATATCTAACTTATCATCTAATGAGAGAAAAGTGACATGTGCGTTATTGCATTTGCATAAACCACTTAATAGAGTTTAAAGTTTAAACTAGTTGTAAATATGCATTAGTTTTAGCATGTATTTAGTTACAGTTGCAGTTTATACTGTTAATATGTATAATTGTAAAAATATTCTTCATCTAATAATAATTAAATTAATTTATTACTATATTTTTTTAATAGAAAGAAAAAATAAATAACTATCAAGTTCATTCTATAACACTGGATATGATATATTTATTGGTACTTTAATTCGTAATTAATACTATAATTAGTTCTGTTTGATTCAAAAACTGTTTTTGCTATTAACTATTATAATTGACAAGGTAAATCAAATTGTAACTCGATTGCCAAAATTTGTAATCAGCGACTCAAGAAAACCCCGAGTATTCATTATCAAGAATTTTGACCATTTTTTCGAAATTTTGTCAGACATATATTGGATCCGCCATTTTGTGTTTTCAAAAACTGAGATCGGATTTGTAATCAGCTACCCAAAAAAAAACCCCGAGTTACGAGTTCTCAAGCAAATTTTATCAAATTAAAATAATTGTCCGCCATATTGGATCCGCCATTTTGAATGTTAAAAAACTGACATCGCATTCGTAAGCAGCGACCCTAAAAACTCTTAACCCTTTAACGACGAGATGTGCTGTCTTTCAACATGAATTTCAATCTCCATAAAAATTTTCAAACATCCTAACCCTATTATTTTTGGGGTCGCATTTTCTAATGACGTAGTCAAAATTTTCAAAAAATTACATTAAACCCTTCCTTTTTTCAAAAATAGTCAAAAAAAAGTCCAGTTTTTTAATTCAATTTTTAAAAAAATTCACTCTGTCGTAACGCTTTTTAAATAGAATAAAAAACATCTATTAGTAATTTTAATCTTTTTTCGATTTTGAATTTAAAAAGCGCTTAACAGCCAAAAAACTTCTTAATTTTAAGTAAAATGACAAACTTTTTCAAAAATTTTTCTTTGATTGGAATTTATTACTCAGGGGTTTTTGAAATCGCTGATTACGAATCTAAAGACAGATTCTTAAAATTCAAAATGGCGGATCCAAAATGGCGGATTAATTTTTTAAATTACTCAAATCTTTCACTTTCACTCAAAAAATGTTCACTTTCAATTTCACGTAAAATATTTTTACTTTCACCTAAAAAATGTTCACTTTCAATTTCATCAAAAAACATTTAATCAAAAAATTTTTTGTAAAATTGTAAGGGGAAATTTTTTGTCAAAATTTCAATTAAGAATCTTTTAGATGTGAAAATTCATTAAGTAAAATTGTAAGTGATAATTTTTTCATAGAAGTGAAAGTGAAAATGTTTTGCGTGAAATTCAAAGTAAAAATTTTTTGAGCGAAAGTGAAAATATTTTCGGTGAAGTTGAGAATAAAAAGTTTTTGATTGAAAATGAAAATATTTTTTTGTAAAATTAAAAATCAAAATATTATTAGTGAAATTGAAATTGAAAATTTATAAGTGAAAATTTTTTCATAAAAAGTGAAATTGAAAATTTTTTAATTGACAGTAAAAGTGAAAATGTTTTCCGTGTAATTAAACATTTTTTGATTGAAAGTGAGAATTTTTTTAGTGCAAGTGAAAATTTTGTAGGTGAAAGCGAATATTTTTTGCGTTAAAGTGAAAATTTTTGAGTGAAAGTGAACATATTTTACATTTTTCGTGAAATTTAGAGTGAAAGTGACAGTTACGTGAACGCACCCGATTGAAATTAATTACTCGGGGGGTTTTTGGGTAACTCATTACGAATCTGACGTCAGATTCCAAAAATTCAAAATGGCGGTCCAAAATGTCGGATTAATTTTTTAAAATCACTCATATCTGATCGAAATTTGTTACTCTGAGGTTTTAGAAGTCGCTGATTACGAATATGAAGTCAGATTCCAAAAATTCAAAATGGCGTATCCAAAATGGCGGATTAATTTTTTAAATTACTCAAATCTTTCACTTTCACTCAAAAAAATGTTCACTTTTAATTTCACGCAAAATATTTTTACTTTCACCTAAAAAATGTTCACTTTCAATTTTATCAAAAAACATTTAATCAAAAATTTTTTTGTAAAATTGTAAGGGAAAATTTTTTGGCAAAATTTAAATTAAGAATCTTTTAGAAGTGAAAATTCATTAAGTAAAATTGTAAATGATAATTTTTTCATAGAAGTGAAAGTGGAAATGTTTTGCGTGAAATTCAAAGTAAAAATTTTTTGAGCGAAAGTGAAAATATTTTCGGTGAAGTTGAGAATAAAAAGTTTTTGATTGAAAATGAAAATATTTTTTTGTAAAATTAAAAATCAAAATATTATTAGTGAAATTGAAAATTTATTTTAAGTGAAAATTTTTTCATAAAAAGTGAAATTGAAAGTGAAAATTTTTTAATTGACAGTAAAAGTGAAAATGTTTTCCGTGTAATTAAACATTTTTTGATTGAAAGTGAGAATTTTTTGAGTGCAAGTGAAAATTTTGTGTTTTAAAAGCGAATATTTTTTGCGTTAAAGTGAAAACTTTTTGAGTAAAGTGAAAATTTTTGAGTGAAAGTGAAAATATTTTACATTTTTCGTGAAATTGAGAGTGAAAGTGAAAGTTACGTGAACGCACCCGATTGAAATTAATTACTCGGGGTATTTTTGGGTAACTCATTACGAATCTGACGTCAGATTCCAAAAATTCAAAATGGCGGTCCAAAATGGCGGATTAATTTTTTAAAATCACTCACATCTGATCGAAATTTGTTACTCTGAGGTTTTAGAAGTCGCTGATTACGAATATGAAGTCAGATTCCAAAAATTCAAAATGGCGGATCCAAAATGGCGGATTAATTTTTCAAAATTACTCAAACCTGATTTAAATTTTTTACTCGAGGTTTTTTGGGTTTGTTGATTACAAATCTGGATCCCGATTCAATTAAAAGTTTAAAGAAGTAAATGATAAAGTGATAAAATAAAAATAAATTAATAATAAACAAAATACAAAATAGAGTTAAATGAAAATTAATTGAATGTTTATAAACAAAGAGAAAATCGTATATGAAATTCTACATTTAACGATACCTACCACCGAAAATTTTAATAAATTATACAAAAATTTTAGCACTTGATAAATTTGAAAAAGAAATTTGAAGAACTTTTTTGGCAATTTTTTAAAGTCTAGCATATTTTTTAAAAATTGAAGAAACAATTTTTAAACTTATGAAAGTGTCATCATTTGAGTCTCATTTTTAATTTAAGACCAAAAAAGAAATAAAAAATCTAATTCGGTTCGCGAGATATTGAATATACCAGAAATTATTCTAAAATATTGAAAAGTGGATAATAGATTATGAAATGTATTAATCAGATTATATTCACTATGATCTTATTTTCTCTAATCCTAATTGTATAATCCATTTGCCTCCGTGCGTTTTCTATAAAACTTAATGCCGGTCAGCTTCTTGACAATGCCGGTCACACTATTCAGTTGAAGGGCAATGACTCAAATTTTGCATAATAACATCATACACTAGCACAACATCAAATATTTCGAATCAATCGCAGATGAACGTGATTCGCATTAGATACGCAACAAGTTATACCATCATTATTTAAAAAAACAGATTATTTTAATTGTAAATAGAATATAATGTATTAAAAATTTAGTAATTTCAAGAAATACATAAAATATCGAAATGTAAGGTGAGAAAGAAAGAAATATTTATAAAAATTCATGTAGGTCTTTACCTTTTGAACAGTTAATTCTTTTATTATACAAAAAGAAAGGTAAAACATTTCAATCTGCAAAAAAAACCTGTTGTCCGATAACATTTTCAAAAAAAAGAACATTATTTTATTTTTTATCTATACACTCGTCTTTTGCCTTAATACTAGCTTTAACACTAACAGAATAGTGGTAGAAGAAGTAGAATGTGATTGTGCGTAGTTTGCGCGACGCATTTAAGGGGGAGTGACACCCTTGAGATCTTGAGATCTTTTTTGAACCTGTTTTTCATGAATTTTTTTAAGACACAGCAATAAAGTAAATAAAATTTGATTTTCAGGACTTTATTTGTTTGTTAACTTATTTTGAAGTTTCACACGGTGGCTTTAGATAAGAGTCAATATGTAAAAAAAAGTAAAAACTTTACTTTCCGATAAAACTTTTAATATTATTTAGAACCCTCTCTCGAAATTAAAAACTAAAACTTATAGAATTTTAAAACATTTTAATGATGATGAATACTTTATTAATAGAAAATATATACGAGAACTAATACAAAACTTTCAAAAATTTGCGGCTTACCTAAAATTCATAAAAATAACAATCCTCTAAGACTTCTCTAGAAAAAAATTTTTTCTCAAAACTTTTCGTTCACGAACGCGATGACATAGTGAACAAACAAACTTTCCATTGATTTTGATTTCAGTTTAGTTCCCATTTTATCGTGCTCACCGCAAGCCGCTTTTAAAAAAAAGTTTTTGGGGCAACAGTTACAGTTTGCACAAATATTAATATTTTTTAAGTTTCAAAGTTGCTAAAAGTTCATAAAACCATATACTATCTGATGCAATGTACATTATTTTAATAAAGTTTTAATGAAATGTCTGTTAGTAATTATGAAAATCACTCATATTTTGTGGTCAATAATGTATGTAACCCCTTAATGATTCTGTTAACAAACCAAAATCTTATATACGTAAAATAGTTATGATTTTATAAATAAGATTAAACAATTTTCTATTCCTGATGATAATATATTATAAGTAGCTGAGATGCTCCATCTTTTTTACACATGTTGACTCAGAACATGTGAATGATTCATTCATTAGACATTATTCAGTAATTTTATAAAGTTTAAATATTCCATTATACGATATACTTGATTCATTCCAGTTCCTTTTTGACAATATATTTTTTAAATTCAATAATAAATATCACACAAAAAAATATGGTGCCCCTATGGATTCTTTCATTTCTGGTTTGTTTATAGTCATGGGATAACTTCTTGTAATGCTAAACTTTCTTTTAAACCTTTATTTTATTATAGGTCTGTTGATGATATAATCACTTGTGTGTTTTGTAATGTTGTAAAATTTAATATTAAAGAACTAATTCTTTAATTTGTGATTTTTGTGAATAAAACACTAAGTAACATTTAGACAGAACATAAAATGATATTAATGATATTACCAACAGTGTTTACAAAATAAATACTTGACAAAGAAATTAATTATAAAAAAACATTTAATATCAGAAATGATTCATATAAATTTGCAAAAGAATCCTGTTAATGAAAAAGATGACACACAAAATCTCAGTATCATCTATTATATTCAATTTCTAAACGAAAAGAAATGTTTATAAATCTTGATCTCCTCTGATTTACCTTGACAATTCTCATGTCCTGCCTTCTGTTTATAGATGGGCCATTCACCTGCTGATCTTCATCGATTCGCATTATTTGTCCATTCTATAACATGTACTGCGAATTAGTGTCCAATCGTACTCCTTTCGACGAAGTATGTTTTTTTTGAACATGTATATGAATTTTTAAAATACTCTCAGGAAACGTTAGACACTTTGGAGACCATCATTTTATTATAAAATTTGAAATAACAATTCTTTTTCTACACTTCAATATGTATTTAACAAACCCACCAAAAATAAATCCTATTCCTTTATTCATTTTCTCAAAACAAATCATCAAAAATTGGTCTCTATTTCAGCCTCTATAGAGTGGTGTTACCCCTTAATGGAGGTTTGATCAATTTTTAATATTATAATAAATTATAATGTCAAAAAATAAATAATTATTGTCATTTACCTTGGGTTTCTTCCCTCTTTTGCGTGTTCTCATAATAGTAAAAGCTCGAGTAAAAGAATATTTTCAAATTAACCGTTATTCTACTAATAAAATAAAATTATCAACTTTTACTGAATTTACTTGACTAAACAAGGTCAAGTTTCTCCTAGCCCCTAAATTAACTATTCTGTTTATATAAATAAATATTCTTTGCAAATATGCATTTTCATGTAACTAATTTATTTTGTTTAATTCAAGTTTTCTTAGGTATAACATTCTATTTATACAGATTTTAGGAAATCGATCATTCGACATTTTTTCAATTTTATCAATCCATCTAAAGACAAAGTCTAAAATCTTAATTTTTAGATGGGGTATTTCTGTTTCTAATCTGATTGCATATCCCGGAATATTTTTTGGGACTTGGAGAATTTTTAAAAAATTAAAAAAAAAAACTATTTTGTATTTTTTGTATTAAGTCAAAATATCTAAGGCTTCGGGAGAAGATAACATACATTATTATATGTGTAATAATTTTTTAGTGCATGTAAGAAGATAGAGATATCTTCTTACGCAAGCACTAAAAATTTTATTATACGCTACCGAATACCATTTTTCCTCTTATCTGAACTGGTTGCACCTGTAGTATTCCAATTGGTTACCTGAATATAAAATTTAGATATATTTTAACATATTGTGAATTATTAGCTACTGTGAAAGTTAGAAAATTAAAACATTTGTGCATACGTTGCAGAAACTTTTGACACGTCGTACAAACATATGTTAAAAAATTAAATTAAATATCACAATTATAATTATGCTTCAGCTAAAAGCAAATGTTACATATTAAAGTTTTTCTGTTCGTTAAATGCATAAATAAATTGCGGACATCAAATACTGAATATCTACGTCTTACTGTACTTGAACAGGTAAATAGTCATTTTTATAGTTATTTTCAAGGCAATTTTATTCTTTTAAAGTTTCTTGAAATCTACCCTCTGCAAAAATGGTTTTTTTTAAATTAATCATTATCCATTCCTCATTAGAATCCCAAAAACAAAACTTGTACGATTTTGCTTCTTTTTGTTTTTCGATGTATTTTCATTCAACTACTCCCATTTAATGATATAATACTTAATTAAATTTTCTACTCTATGCAAATAAAATTACTGTTATTGATACTTTAAAAGTTTTTTTTCGCTTTTTATAAATCTACACAATTCGTTATTAGCTTAATCAATCCACAGGGCCAAAAATTGATGCTGGAACAAGATCAAAAACTATATTACCCTCACCATATAATTCATCAATGTTACCAGGTTTAACAATTTGGGATTCTCCAGGATTTAATGACAATAGATATTACTAACACTTTTTATTTGCATCAATTGGTAAAAGATGTTAAAGCCCTAAAATTTATTCTTGTTATTGATTTGAATGACCTTTCTGGTGATAATATTGGAAAATTTATAAACCTTTTAAATGCTCTTGATATTGGAGATAAGTTTTTCGACTTCTTTCGGAGTATAGCAGTGATTTTTTCTAAAGCACCTTACAAAATAGATGAACATGAAGTCAACAATGATTACATAAACGAGCTATTGAAAATAAAATATTTATCAGCCAGAGATTTAAAAACATCTAATGCTGCTAGGCAACTTGTACAAAGTTTTTAATGGTTGAACCTGCTGCATTAACTTTTTATAAATAATTTTTTCAATAATTGACATTTGTAATAAACTCTAATAATAACTCGACTGTAGTTGAGATATATCAAACGGGAGGTTTTCCATTGAGGTAAAATTGTGTGATTATAGTTTCGAAATGAATCTAAATTGGGATGAGGATTTGTCAATGATACTACTAAATGTTGTGAGAGAATATTTATTTAATAACCAAACAAGAAAGAAAGGCTTGACAATAATACAATGCTTAATGTTAAAAATTAGAATCTTTAAGAGGATAAAGATAAGGGCTGGGTTTGGAACTGCTGGTCGTTGTCTTGGTACCCGATGCTTAAGAGCAGTTGCATAAAATTTTCATAGTCATTTTACTTGGACCCTGAAAATCACAAATTGAATTCAAAAATAAAATTTTTCGAATTACTTTCGTGCAGGATCTTAATTAAATGTAATTTAAAAAAACATGTTTTTGAAGTTAATTTGTGGATGTCAGGGGCCAAGTAAAACTGCAATCAAAATTTTATTCACAGCTTCATTGTCATTGGAATAAATGATGTGATTAGATTTACAGCTCTTTCAATAACATGAATCCATTTGGAATTTGTCTTCTTATTATTTTAGTTGGACTCTGAAAATCAGAAATTAACTTCAAAAATAATATTTTGTCGAATTATTTTCGTGCAGGATCTTAATTAAATGTAATTTAGAAAAACATCTTTTTTGAAGTTAATTTGTGGATGTCAGGAGCCAACTAAAACTTATATCGAAATTTTATTCGCAGCTTTATTGTCATTGGAATAAAAACAATTTATTTTCCATTTCCTCATATCTCGTACCTGTATCTGTAAAATTAACGTCTGGCAATAATATTGTATAGATTATGAAGATTGTAGTGATAGCGATTTAAATCGACAAAACCGTTTGGCGAGATACTTTTGTTATGTGATAAAGTATTTGTATTTCATTCGTCTGTGTATATAATTTCCAAATATTTTGAGGCACTTGACCTGATGGATTCATTGTTAGTAGTTTGAAATCGTTAAAGAAAAATATCTTTATCCTTTTAACCCTCTGCAATTTCTGTTTCCTGTCTTTTAAAACGTTTTACTATTTTCAAATGGTTTGCTTGTACATTCTTCCAAATTTTTTCTTTGCCTTACATATCTCAGTGACAATAGATAAACATTCTCTGCAAAGATTCGTTTAATTTCTGGAAAATTAAGATTTGCTGAATCCTACGCCGATGATCCAAATATTCTTATTTTCGGTATTAAAATTATTAGAAAAATCGTGATTTAAAATTTTCTGTAGATTTGAAAGTCTTTTGTTGTTGTTATCCTTGAAAATATTTTGTATATCCTGTAATGTTTCCATAGTGGGCAAATGGTGCTATATTAATGATGTACTGATAAAGTTTGTTAACGTCTTCAAAACTATTTAGCGATTTGTAACAAGAATTATTAGTGTTACTGCGTACTTTATCAAAAAGATGAACTTATGCCGCTGTCCTATTATTTAATTTATTTAGATATTCAAAAAAAGCATTTAGAACGGGTACCGTATCATTTTTAACTGGAGTTCGTAATGTATTGACAGACAGAAAGAAACTGATTGCTTGAAGTCTTGAAATTCAATTCCTTGCAGGCATAAAAATTAAATATTTATAAAAATACACCACCATATGATGTAGAAACATGACTATGTCATGATTTAAATGCTGTTTCAATTTTTTCAAACATGTCGTTTGACGCTTTATTACGGCGTACCCTGCAAAAAACAATAGTGCTCATTATACCTCGATGTTAAAACTCCCGCTTGATATATTTCGAAAGTATTAGTAAAAAAACTATAGTTATAGTGCTATATCTATAGTGAAGCATGATCATCAAGTACTACACTGAAAAAACTGTTTGGTCCCGGCAACAAAAATTTGATTGTACCAATAAAATATTTTATACTTAATGTACGAGCAACAAAACCGTTTGGCTGGATGAATCGAATTTTTGTTGTCAAACTATTGAATTATTCGCTCAAATGAAATATTTAGTAGGCTTTACAAAAAAATTTGTATTCATAGTAAATATACATGTATTAGAGTCAAAATTATCTATTTCGTTTAAAACTAATTAAGTAATGTTGATGTTACATATATATTAGTTCATATCTATGTGAAAATTTGTCTTAAAAAATTTCGAGTTCTGTAAATAAATAAAAAATAAAAAATTATATTAGTGTAATGTAAGATTATTTTTTAAGGGGGTGTCAAAGTCAAGTCAGTTGTTTCATAAGAGCTACAATGGAAAAATCACTATTTTACTATAACTTTTCCTGTGTTTCTCTCCAGCTTAATTTACAGTTCTCTTCTTTATCCTCTACGCCATCAAACTTAATTACATTATTTGGCAAATAAATTCAATGAAAAACAACATCCAATTTGTGTTCATAAATGGTAACTTTCACAATACTTTTCTAACATGAAAAGTTGCATTTTTAGAGCAGGCAAATGGAAAATAATTTTTTCATTTGGGTAACTTAATTTTAATAAAAAATACACAAAGAAGATTTATAATATATATGAAAACAACAATAAAAAAATGAACCGCGATAGTCTGATATCAATCCGAACGAAAACCTGAATCCGAAAACATTCCTGATTAATCCTGAATATCTTCGAATTCAGTCCGTAATTAGTCCACAACAATCCAAATTTATGACCGGTGAAGAATTCTTTTGAAATAAATACGGAATTATCCAAAATCAATATGTCAAGAATACGGAATCAGTCCGCAAAAATCCGAGTTTAATCTACTTAAAAAACTTAATTCTACTTAAAGAATACTAAATTCAAACTATAATTATAATTTCGTATGACAAAAACCTAATCATTAAACTTTATATTTTTCAAGAAAAGGTTGCAAGTTTTTAATAATTTCGATCTACAATGTCGATAAGTGGGATCCCCAAACAAAAAATTTAATATATTTCCTTCACCTAATAAAAAAATATTATATTATAGTGTATTATAGACAAAAAATAAATTTTCCATGTAAAATTCCTATATAAATTACAATATAGTATTGGGAACCGCAGAACTGCAATACACCATTGGGTATCAACCCTCTTAAGGTCATGTTATTCAGTGGTCACGTGTTCCCATAGTAAAGTATATGGAGCACGTGACCACTAAATAACATGACCTTAAGGTAGCCATTCTTAGTTGTGATCTTTTTAAACATATGTTACAAAAAAATAGAAGATCAACATGACCGACACAAATGGGTCATTTACTCATTTGAAAGTGATATCTGATCCCATTTAGGTTTCTTTGTATTATGTCAACAAAATTTTATTAGTTACATTAACAAAAAGTGTCCAACAAAACAATTTTGTTAACATTGCAATATTATTTTTCTCAGTGTAACCATAACGATCGCATGCCACATCACCGAGCTATATTCGTAATTGCGCACGTAATATTTGCTGAACCTTTTTTAAAAAGTTTATAGCAAAGATTATTAGGTGCTGAATTTCTATCAAATTACCGTTAAATTTTTTTTTTTTTTGAAATCTACATAAAAAATTCATCAGTAATTCACATAAATATTTGTTCAAAATTCGTACAGAAAAATTTTACAATAAATTATAATACACTGTAAAAAATTTTTGGGGAAAATTCCCCAAAATCTTGGTGACGCAATTTTAACCAAAAAAGGTAAATTTCCACCAAGAAAACTTGGGGAATTTTCCCCAAGAAAACTAGAGGAATTTTCCCTTTAAAATCTTGTGGAATTTTCCCTTTAAAACCTTGGGGAATTTTCCCTTTATAATCTTGGGGAATTTTCCCCAAAAAACTTTAGGAATTTTCCCTTTGAAATCTTGGGGAATTTTCCCCAAGAAACTCGAGGAAATTTCCCTTTAAAATCTTGTGGAATTTTCCCTTTGCATCCTTGGGAACTGTTCCCTTTGAAATCTTTGGGAATCTTCCCTTTGCAACCTTGGAAAATTTTTCTTGTAAATTCTTAGAAAATTTCTCTTTTAAATTACTTATTATGGAATTTTTCTCTTCGAACGTTGGGATATTTTTACTGTAAAATAGTACAGAATTTTTCAGTAAATTTTATCCTTTCATATTTGGGAAGATTGGTTTGTAAGGTTGAATAAATCTTGAACAAATTTTTTAAATACTGTTTATTATATTAGGTACTGTCAGTGAACGATAAGTACTTCAATTAAAAGTACTACATCTGAACTTTACAACATTAATAATTAATTTTTTGCTTTCGGATCGCAAATAGTCTTTGTGTAATGCGAAAGTTCTCCGTTTATATTGCCTTTAGGGGGTTGATTGTCCAACAACATACTGTAAAAATAAATTATTATTTACCTTTTACAATTGACAAAAAAATACATAAAAATTAGATTGAACAATAATATATTTACCAAAAACTATGAATATATAGTAGTAATAGGGTTATGACTTTTCTAATTCAATATTATATTTCATATTTTTATTTATATATTTTTAAAATAAATTAAAAAATTTTTATTTTGATTAAAATATAAAAAATACCTAAACTACTTTATTTTTAAAATATTAAAAATTAATTAAATTCTATAAGTCAATTGTTAAATTAACATTATATGGCAAAATATGAATAACTAACTAAATTTTTTGATAAAACCAAAAATAGTTTTAAAAAACTTTACAATACAATATGTTACACTTACAATATAATTATAATATATCTTTAAATATTATTTACCTTTTTAATAATTTTTAAATAATCCTTAAATATCGTTCTAGAATATTATTAAATATTGTCGAATTGTCCACTTCACTATTATACATATAACCATCACTATATATTTAATAACTTTGAATATTTTTTTCACTCAAGGTTTTACTCTTACGAAGGCTGAAAAGCAACTAACATGTAAAATCATCTTGAAAGACTTTTCGAAGAAGACTTCTTGAGAATTTCTCAAACATTCTAGCTAAATAAATTTATAAGAAAAAAACGGGTCCTGCGAGAAACTCATAAAATACGTCCCCTTGCAACGAGAAACCCTTAGGTATTGTTGGTCATCCAAAGACAAACCAGATGTGCCAAATCTTTCAAAATGAGAAAATGCTTCAAAACATTTTATACTTTTGACTAAGAGCAAAAAAATTTTAAGGCCCCCCATAGTATATATCTTTCAATAAACCTAACTATTTATGGCAATGCTTTTTTAAGTGAAAAATAGTTTATAATTGTTTGTTAAACATGCTTTATTAAAAAATTTTTTACCAAAGTATTAATTGTATTTTTAAGATAAAATTTTTACTATAAGTAGAACAAAAAATTTATGTAGTTCATAGTGAAAGTATTTTTTATTATATAATTATTAAATTATTAAAATTATAATAATTGTAAAGTTTAATTAATTTCATTTCTTCTAAATGCTTTTTCTAGTAAAAATTGTTATTTAAATTATAAATTAGACAAAGCTCATTTGTTTAAAACATTAATTTAATGAAGTATTATAAAAAAACATTTCACTGTAATATAAATATTAATTTTTTAGCCCCTAAATCATACATTTTGTAAAAATGTTAATAATTTTGTACATGCAATTTAGTAAAAATTAACCCATTTTATAAAATTTAAAAAAGTTTTTTCAACTTTGTGGAAATTTTTATTAAATTTGGGAAAATTCCACAAAGCTTTCATAAAATGACATTTTCTTACTAATATGTGGAAAATTCCCTAAAATTATATACAAATTTCCCTATAATATTGTTGAAATTTTCACTATTATGTGGAAAATTGCACAAAATTGTAGTGAAAAATTTTTTCCCCTTCGCTTTGTAGAAAATTCCCTAATATTTTATCACTTTTCCCCAAGTTTGTTCAAAATTTCACTAATTTGTGGAAAATTCCCCAAAATCGTAGTGAAAATACTTTTCCCCGTGAATTTGTGGAATATTCCACAAGGAACCTCAGGGAAAAATCCCCAAATTTTTTACAGTGTAGATATTAAAAGTAATAAAATATTGAAATTCTTACCTTCAGCTTCTTAATTTAGTTTCTTCAAACAAAAAATACGTACTAGAACTCAGAATAAGAGTGTGTTACTTTATAAAGCTTCTGAATTAGTAGTTTTCTATTTTTAACAAAAGTAATAAAATTATTATCTGAAAATCGTGACTACGCTATAAATATTTTTATTGTCTTTAGATATAATACAGTAGAAATGTTAGTTTCTTTCAAATAATCAACTGCGTAAAATATTAAATAAAATATTTATCTATTTCTTCTGCTACTCAATGTATGATTTCTTACTACGAAACGCTCTCTGTTCACACTTTTTATATTTTTTAAAAATTAAGAATAATAATTATTATTATTCATCGTATTATTGTGGTTATTATTATTTTTAATTAGCTATAAGTTTTGAATCTGTGAATTTATTTTTTTCAATATCTACAAATATCAGTACAGATAAACATCCACTGTTGATGAAGTAGAACTTTTCATTACTCTTTTTATCACCTCTATTATCAACTTGGCATGTTACTAAAACTGAAAAGCGAACTTTTTAATAGGGATTTTACTATATACTCGCATTTTTTTTTATCTTCCTCTTATTGTAGGAATTTTCATACTTTTTTAATATTTATCTATTTCTTTTAGTTCTTAATGCTGCTAAAGCAAAATTCTTCTTTTTTAAAGTCCAGAAAAATTTCAGAATAATTGGACCTATAATCGTTTTTTATAATTTGATTCTTAATCTACAATTTGAACTTCATCGAAATTGAAAAAATGTTTAAGTGTAGTTTGATGTTGATTAACCACAGATTCAATTTTTTTGTTTTTATGTTCCTTGATTCTTTTTTCCAACACCAATGTTAGTGGCAGAACAATTATTACAATTAAATTTGTAAACAATACCAATTTGGTTCCATTTGTCCAAACTACCGAAGTCAAAGACTTATTAACTATTGGTGATATCGGAGAATCCATAGGGGTGCAAATTTGTTGGTATATTTTTTTATTAAAAACAAAAATGGTAATTTTACTATGAATGTTAGTTACACTTTTAATTTGATGTAAGTTCCTTGTTTATAAATGTCCCTTTGAATTATTTATTCAAAATTTAGATCGACAGTTTTACAGAAAAATTTATGGAACCCCGATGGGATCCCTAATTTCGTCAGCCTTTGTTCCAAATATTGTCATCAGGAATGCTCTAGAAACTGATTGTCTAAAAGGATTGAAAAATTTACTTAAATCTCTCTATTTTATTTTAGATATGTGGGTGACATAATCTATGTTCTACTATCTAGGGTTAAAATAAAAATTAAATTTCAACATTATTAGCTTAACATTTCATAAAATATGTATATATTTTTTAAAACCATCAATAAATTACTAGATTCTCTTACAATAAAAGTATATCGGTTTTTTCTTTGCATTTCAAACGTATTAGATTTGGCAAATTTTGTCACCGTAGAAAATGTTTTTTTAAAATACATCCCTTTTTAATTATAAGTTTCTTATCTTATAATTATAATTCTGTAGTGCTTTTTAAAAAATAATCTTACTGATTCCCTAAATTATGGCAGTTAAACGATGGATGCCGTTGGATACAATTCGAAAAGACTGTCTAGTATTGAAGTACATGAAATTAAAAATTTAACGAACTTAATAAGAAAGCACTCATTTATGATCAACTGACATACTTGTAGATTTAAATTGTTAGAAGCGAATTGCAAAGCTTATTGAACATGACAAATATGGTAATTAATATAAAATTATTTGTACACACATATGAGGTATTTATTTTATAATACAATCACAAATAATTAAAGAAAATACTAATACAATTAGTATGCTATTAAAATTTTTGTGAATTTTTTTCACAATAAATTTATCTATCCAAAAATATTCCTGAGAATTAATTTGACTTTAAATAGTTAATGCCAATTATGCAAATTATTAGATAATATAGATTCAGGTACAAGAGGTTTCACAGCTACATATCGGTGATGACCCCCCAATTAGCTTGTTTTTACCTTAAATAAATATCACATTAACTTATTGAACAGATGTCGGTAACAAGTGACAATTAATTATTTATATATACATATAAGTACATTCATTATTTAGCGCAGAAAATAAATAAACTAAACGATTATCTTTAATGAAAAGCGTACTCTATATGCTTTTCCGTCAGCGTCGTCTTCATCCTTAATGTTCTTTGCCCATGCTTGGCATTCAATTTCAATAACTGCATTTTCTAAAAAATAAATTAGAAATTATTAAATGCAACTAAAATAATCCACGTATGTGATCGGGATAGTTAAAAGAAAAGTTAACCTTAACCTTAATTTTAACCTTAAACCTTAACCTTAACCGAAATTCCCTACCTAATAAAGGCAAGATGATAGTGTGAAATCGGAAGCAGACAAGGATTACTCAGATGATGAGGGTCATGATCAGTAAGTAAAAATCAGATAAAGATTATGTGACGGAAAAGTTATGACTGGAAGTCATTAGAGTTTATTCTTTGTATTGTTTTTATTAGGGTACCCATACGTAGGGTTTTTATTAGGTGTTTTGTTAAATTCATAAAAATTAACTAGCGTCCACGTGTTTGATTTCTTTTAAAATATATGTTCGGCAAAGCCTCAGCAACTCCAAATGTGAATTTGGTAAACATTAAACGCATGGATTACCTGGCGGATAAAGGCCACAAAGTAGCAAGTTCAACCATTGATGATCAGACAAAGGTTATCCAGCCCATGAAGGAGAGAAGCTTCACCTCTGTCAGAGTATTTGCTAACCGACAATGGTAAGGAGATTGATAATAAGTTCTTCAAAAACTCACTGGACGAATATGGAGTTCAACACATCATCTTACCACCTACAAACTAATCCAGTCGTCAGAAGCAACAGGACTCTGATTACGATGGTTTCTACGTTTATAAAAGCCGACTGTCATGACTCACAGTCAGAAATGAAAGATCTAATCGACGTCTATTCGACGTTTAAAACCTCTATCCATGTGTAGGTAATCTAAATCAAGATCTATATAAGCTGCACATTCGCAAAAGACGAGTGGTCTATTTGACACCATAGGTGCTAAGTAGATGACTATAATCAAAGTCTAGGATTTCGAATAGACAACTTAATTTTTGTTGGTGCGCACCATCAAGAATTGAGAGGTACAATGGACGATATAGACAATCAATTCGATATCTAAGTATTTGCCAATACGTCTGTTACACTGGTACTGGTACACTATTAGATTATTTCCTACAAAAATTTCTGACATTCGTAAAAGTTACCATTAGACGCAATATCGTACACTTGAATCCAACGATGCCTTCTCTCCGGGAAGGCACTAATTTGACGAGTTTTGACCACTTTCTATATTCTTTATAGTTCATGTCCATAATTTCAACGGAATTCTGCTTTTCTATTGGCTGATTTTTTAGACAATATAGAAGGTAGGCAAACTTCGTCAAATTAGTGCCTTCCCGGAGAGAAGGCATCGTTGGATTGAAGTGTACATTTACTTGATTCCCACCATTGTCAATATTCCGAGTACGTCAATATAGCGGAATCAGAACTCATCCAACAATTTTCTTTGTTTCGTTTACTTGAAGAAATTTAGAAAATATTAAATTATGTAAAATGTATGTAATATTACACTAAGCGACTGAATGACAAATACAAATATCTTTGAATTCAAACAACTTTGACAACTATATTTAACATTTTCAGACCAAATCTAGACTTAGATCTCCTCTCAACTTCTTAGACATCGAATTGACGTCGGTTAGACCTTTTATTTCTCACTGGGGTTAATGAATTTCGTCATGCCGTAAATGCAACAACACAGGCACCGACTAAAACGTCTCCTGCGTTTCTAAATTTCGATAAACATCCTAAGCCAGTGAAGAGCCTGTGTAGACAAGTCGTGAGAATTCATCCGGAAGAGTGAATAGCCAGAATAAAGAGATTAGACGCGTTGAGAGATATATTAGTAGTCAGATTTATTTATATGGAGCGAGCGATACTAGCAAAGTATTACGACAAGGAAGGCAAGACGTGTCTTTTAAAGTAGGCGATTTGGTGTTACGTAAAACACATAAACTGTAGAGTGGAGTACAAAAATTTGCAATGTAGTTAGCACAAAACTACGAAAGTCCTTTCGAAGTCGTTGAAGTAAGAATTAAGTAAAAATTAATTAAGTAGGTAAGAAGCATGAAGGATCTAGTCTACATAGTCTGAATAATCTTTGTCTAATGATGACCTGTTCAATCAGGGATCCTGAAAACCCCTAGGTAGCAAATAAAATCAATTTTTTTTAATTGCTACTTCATATTTTTTCAAACCAAATGACCCTACTTCAAAGTGCTTTTGTAAAGATACAAATAAAAATAGAAATCCGTGTTTTGTTCCATTGAAAAGAGCATATCTTTTTCTATAAGTATGACCCAAAGAGTGGAAATGGATTATTTAAAGGTTAAGCTCCCTTTTAATTATTCCGTCACCTATATCAATGGTTCATGGACTTCCGTTTCCGGTACTGTTGAGCTTTGCACGCGTTTGTAAAGGGTTAAGAGTTTTTGGCAAAATTTTGAGTATTTTATTGAAGAGTGGGTAGTGTAGTGTTTGAGATAATAAAGGAAAGAGTGGTGGTGAAAGTAAAAAGAGCAAAAGTGTACGAGTGGGTAAGTGTGAGTGATAAAAAAGGTAAAAAAGAGAAGTGGATATTGTGAGGTTAGGTTGCTTGAAGTGAGACTGTGAGAGAAAAGAGAGAGAGAGACAATGGGAAATATTGAATGATAAGGTAGATTTCTGGAATGGCTGAATTTGATTCAAGTAGTGTACGAGAGAGTGAGAAAAAGGCGCGAATATTTAAAAGAGGAATAGGGAAGAATGGAAAGGTGATGACGTGTGAAGATTGTATGGACTTGATGGAGCTAGCGGAAATGTTGAATGAAGCAATGGAAGAGCTTTTTGTGAGAGTGAGGAATAATTTTGTAACGGTGTGTGAAGCAGGTGATGAGAGGGGTAAAGAGATGGATGAATTAGATGAGGAAATGGAAAGGATGGAGGAAAAGTGGAAAAGTGGAAAAGGTGGGCGAGTGAGAAGGAAAGTATGAGAGAAAGAGTGTAGGAATTGGAAAAATTTATATTAAAAAAGAAGGAAGAGGATAAAAAATGGAGGTTCTATTAAAAAGGGGGTAAAAATGAGTAGTGAGGGGAGTGAAAGTGTATATTATGAACGAAAGGTGAATGAGCTGGAAAGAAGAGTGGAATGGATGGAAAAGGATAAAAGAAAAAGAAATATAGTGATTAGGGGTATGAATGCAGGTTTAAGTGAAGGGAGAAGAGAGGTGGGGAGACTGGCTGAAAGGGTAGGGGTAAAAATTAATATTAGGCAGATGAAAGCGATGAATATGGATGCGAATGGGATTCTGAGGATGTGGTTAGTAGAACTGGGAAGTGAAGAGGAGAAAGAGGAGGTTATGAGGTTGAAAGGAAGTGTTGAGAGAATAGATGAGGATAGAACGTGGAGGGAAAGGAGTATAAGATGGTTACTGGGAGAGAAGGCATGGATCGAAAGAAGGAATGGAAGGGAAGTAAGAATGAGTAAGGAATGCGTGTGGGTGGATGGGGTAAAATGATGCGTGAGAGAATGTAATGGACGAGTGTTTGAGGTTGGAATGAATGATCGGGTGAATGGAGAGAAATGAAGAAGGATAAGAATGAAGATGAACTTTTAAGGATTTAAGTAATTTAAAGGGGTGGGGCGTTAATGGGCAATCAGTCAGTATGGGCAAAGGGAACTGGAAACGGAAGCCCTGGCACTGGCGAATTTTGAGTGTATGAGTGTGATGAAAATAGGTTAAGTTTTGTTGATGTGGGACATGAGCGGCGTTATAGGTTAAGAAATTTTGTATTTATAGAATTAGTTGACTTGGGAGTCTCGAACCCTGCATATTGCAGGGAGAGTAAATAAACACATAATATCAATGGTTCATATCATTTTCATCACTTTTTTTTGAAGATGAGAAGCAAATCACATAAATTTTAATACTCACTTCTAAAATTTGTAAATTGCACAGCAATAAGAGGACTAAGATATCCAGGTTGATTTTCGTAGGGATAGAAATATCCCGGAAATCCCTGAATTTTTGGGTAGTAATCTATAATTTCATTTAAGGTACTATTACCTGGTTGATTGAGTGATTTACAAGATACCCATATATTTTTCATCTAAAAAAATTTTATATATTAATATGCAATACACAATAGAGTTTGTCCTTATATTAATATTTTACATTTTTGGTGCTTATATTTCTTATAAAGTTTATATTTGTTTTTAAAAAATTACGTACAAGTTTTGCTACAGTGATAAATAGATTTTCATATCTCTTAAAAGTTTCTAATTGTTTAGTGAAAAATTATCATGTAAATATGTGCAATATGAAAAATTAGAATATCCTAATTCGTCTCGAGTACTCGCCGATTGCAATAAAACAACGAAAATGTCAAAAACATTTTTAAAAAATACACTTAAATTTATATAACAAACGCGTAATTTTAAGGCTAAAAATCACTCTTTTTTGTTGGGAAAGGGTAGAAAACTAAAAATTCTTTTAATTAATTAGAATTTTTAAATTAACTGATTGTCAAACATCATAGTTTAAGAAAAAAGTATACTTTTTCAAAATTAAACTTTTCAATAATGTTAATTTAACAAAAAATAATATTATCCTATAAGCCAAGCGGTCCACCCTATCTCTCAATTTTGTTTTAATTAAAAAAATTCAAAACCTTTTGGAACAATTAGCTGAATAGGTATCTAATGTTAGATTTTTAAAATTCAAAATGGCGAATCCAATATGGCAGCATATTTTTTTAATTTTCTCTGATTTGTTCGAAACTTGTTACTCGGGGATTTTTGGGGTCACTTATTAAGAATCTAAAGTTGAAATTTTAACATTCAAAATGACGGAATAAATTTTAAATATTTCTCCAATTTACTTAAAACTTGTTACTGGGGGTTCAAGTGAAGTTACTTCTGATGATACTCAATTTCTAGCTATCGTGAAATTTTCCAAATTCAGAAAATGCAACAGGCGTTAGAAACGAATTAACTTAGAGACGAATTAAGATATAAATTTTCAAATTGCATTTTAATGGTCAAATTTTGCCATCTCGAGTTATTAAAAAATATTTGTTGCCTTATTTCAAAAAATTACAATACTTTGTAAAAAATATTATTTAAATTACAATATCAGGAAAAAACTTACTTTATTTATGTCAGTATTTTGAATATGTTGTTTGAGTCGTTCTGGCATTTTAGTCGGAAGTTTTTGTGGATCGTCATATAATTTCGGTATCCAGCTAAATATCTAAAAAAAAAAAGTTTTTTGATAAGTGAAAAGTATTTCTGTAACTATATTTATTTTTAGGAGAAATCTCGCACTATCGAAAGGAATTTCTAATTTTTCAGATCAGATATTTACAAGGATAAAAATAATTCTGGTGTGATATTTTATTTTTATTTATTTTAATGTCTCTCTGACGTATTCAAGATTAATAACAGAAAAAAAATATTTTTGACGTCACGCTTAGAACCCGATTTTAATTTATTTATCAAGTGCAAAATATTTTATGTCAATGATGTTTTAGTATTCTTTAATTTATTCTAAATTTATACTCGTAAATTTAAATAAAAATGTTGCTTTAAGCTTAGACATTACTGATTTGTTTGCATTTCTTTAGTCTTTACAAATATAATTTTCATGATTTTTGTTTCATTAAAATTATTTCCTTTCTTGAAAAAGATTTTAAAAATAATTCAAGTGCAATTCTTGAAGAAACTTATTTTTGTCAATATTTTGTAAACCGAAAAAAATTAAATAAGAAATAACATTTATGTTATGAGTTTGGGGAATATTTCTGTATTATCTGTATGATTGTCACGGAATGGGGAAAGAAGTCATTAATAAGAAAAGTAAAAGGCAAGGTAAGTCGTTGAGAGGATCATAATTTTTCCAAAGTCCATTTGAAGTAATTAATGATAAATCACATTATCCTGTACGTAATTTATAATTGGAAAGGGAAATGTTTATAAGTTCTGAATATTCATATAAATGAGGATTTCAAGTATATTGATAATCGTGATTATAGCATTGAAAATTTATTACAATGTTATGTAGGTGGTCTAACCCCTTAATGTTAATTTTTTATTCTGCGTTATGTTTGTGCCAAAATAAAATTTATTTAATTTAATACTGTTCTGAAATTATTAGAACTTTGCTTTTGTTTGAACTTTTCTATTGTTAGAATAGTAGGTAATATTTATAAGAGTAATTTTTATAATCACCTTATTTAATTTTAGAAATACGCAAGGCTTGCCAGTAGCAAAGCCATATCCCTGTCCATATGAACATGGACCTAAGGTATCCACATCGAACATACAAACTTTGTTTTGATGTGGCAGAGCATCATAGTTGCAGATTTGTTGATTTCGTCCATCATCTAACAGTAACGATGAGTTGTGGTAACCTACATCAAATTTTTTCAATTTGAATAAAATTATTTGCTAGGGTGACCCAAAAAAAGTTTTTAGTGGAAAAAAGCAAAAAACCCCCACAATTTGTTCCAATGGCAAAAAAAAATTAATACGTTTTTTTATTTTTAAAACTATTCATATATTAACAGGTGCCACCGCGAGTACTTCAATTTTCCCATGCATGTAAAATGCATGGGAAATTTTTATAAAAATTTTTTTGGTCACTCTAATAATATTTCAATATTTTTAGGGTACATTACAACTTACTGCTCAGAAACAAGTCCAACTTTTGAATCCAAATGTTAATATCACTACTATTTTTGGTGTCATAAGATATAACCATTTCGTCCTTTAGATCATTGGATATAGGTCGAAACCCCATACCTGAAATTTTTAAATAAGAAACTAATTTGTTTAATAATAATGATCATTTATAAGGATTTAATTTTCATAAACTATAATAAAAAATTATAAATAAAACTACTGATAAAAACTTCTAATAGAATCAAAAAATTACATTAAGAATATTTACAAAGAAAAATAATCTTCGTTGAAGACTATTAATCAAATGTCCAATAAATTTAATTCAAAATATTTCTTAAAAATCTTCCTTACCAGGAGAAGTACCAATAATACTGTTTTCTAGAATCCATCTTGGTTTATCTTCATTTAGGGTCGCTAATAAGCCTTTCATACAAATAGCGAAAAATGCTGCTAGTACACTAAAAAAAACTAAGTAGAAAAGTCCCGTTCTACCTGAAATTCGAAAAGATATTTTTAGAAAACTTTCTTTTATTTATTTTTCAAAATATTAAAAATACATTTTTGGTATTTTGAAAATTTAGAAAAAAATGTCAATTTTAATAAATAGTCCCCCACAGCATCTAAACTTGCAGCAACATTGACAATATTGCTGCAAGATTCACAATATTGAGGAAATGTTGTGAATGTTGCTACAAGTTCAGTTACTATGGGGGTTAGAATTGTAAGATAATTTAAAAAACGATTTTTTACGTTTTGTTTAATTATACATTCATTTTTATACTTAAGATTAATTTTCAGTTCATTGACCCTAAAAAATCGAAATTAATATTTTATAATATGTAAAAATTATGCTATGTTGAAAATTAATTATTGATTATTTAATCAAATTGATTATTAAAATAAATCCATCATTGGGAAATTTTTTCTAACTTAAAACAAATTCAAATAATTTTCTTTTGGTATCTTGTGGATTTGTGTACATAAAATAATGTAATATTAATTATAGCATTCTATACAGCAGTAAACATGATTATGCAAGCGCAGCGAAAAATATGTCCTACTATCAGCACAAAGAGGAACAATCAATTTGCTTTTAAAGGCTTATGAAACAAAATAAAATAATATTTCTAAATTTGACTCAAGCATAGTAGGAATTCGTACTCTCTAAATCTGAATATGTGAAATTTCACTTATTGTACGTTATAAGTCGTCCTCTCGATCAATAAGTGCATATACACTTATAAATAAGTGAATTTTTCACTTATTCTGAGTGAAATTTCACTTATTATAAGTGTATATGCACTTATTGATCGAGAAGACGACTTATAACGTACAAATATGTGAATTTTCACATATTCAGATTTAGAGAGTATAGAATAAAAATATAATTATAATAGAAAATCAAGATATTAAAGGCCCGAGTTAATTGCTTTAAGATTTTAGAAAAAAAAATAATAGGAAAAATAAATTCGGACAAAATGCAAAATTTTTTTCCATTTAGATAATTTTGGTGCGAGTTACAATGCGTCATATATTAGATTAGATTAACAATATAATTAACAATAAAAAACAAGAAAAGTAATTATAAGTAACAAAAAAATAAATTATAAAATAGTTTACATAAAATAAATTTATATAAAAATTTAAAACTAAAAAAAGAATTAATAATTAATATTACGTAATAATAAAAAATTTGTTGAAATAATTAAAAGTTTAACACTATCATGCCCCGAGTTTTTAGGGTCGCTGATTACGAATTTGAAATCAGATATTCAAAATTTTGAAAATTAAAAATGGCGGATTCAATATGGCGGACATTTTTTTCAAAATTGCTCAAATTTACATAAAACTTATTACTCGGGGGTTTTCGGGGTCCTTGATTACGAATCTGAAGTCAGATCTAAAAAATTTAAAATGGTGACCCCGAAAACCACCGAATAATAAGTTTCAAGCGAATTTGAGCAGATTTGAAAAAAATGTCCACTATTTTGAAATTTTGAAAATATGACTTTAGATTCGTAATCAGCGACCCCGAAAACCCCCGAGTAAGAAATTTGAAGCGAATTTGAGAAAATTTTGAAAAATTAGTTTTCGCTATTTTCTTATAAATATTTTACCTATTGTTTATAATAATTATAATCGTACTACGTAATTAATTATTTTTTTAATTGTAGCAGCTGTCATTTGGAATAAAAAGAAATTTACGGCAAATTAATTGGTTGACTTTTATCAGAATAACATAAATTTTTCTAAGTGGGACACGGGGGACAACCTGCACTTTCAAGTTGTCCCACTTGCGTTATTTTTTATTCTAGAAATGCCATAATTAAAAAACGCTACTGATATTGTTATCAAATGATTAGTTATTACTTTTTATGCTCTTTTGGGACAAAAAGAAGCAATAAAAATATTCTTGTTAAACAAATTCTGAAATTGACTTGTGGAAAAATTGAAAAATTAAAATTGTGACTATTTCAACTAATTTTTATAGATATAATTTAAGTTAAAAATTTTTTCTGAGTTGCTTTTTTAATCAATTTTGATAATTGAAAAGAAATTTTTGAAATATCAAGCATTAAAATTTTTTTTCATCGTTTTAAAAATAGAGTTCAAAATTGCAGGTTGACTCATCACTTTACGGCTTGCAGGTCCGAAATGCGAATCCAATGATATAATTTTGAGTAAATTTACACAATTCCCGAAATTTCACTTTTTTCACATATATCTTTGTTTTTTGTTTGATTTTCAATTGGAAAAAAAAATTTTTTATTTGAAAAAATTTTTTTTATTTAAAAAAAAATTTTACTTATTAATAATTGTTTAAAAATTTTAAATTAAAATTATTATGTTTAGAAGCATTAAATCTAAGTGAAATTTAATAAATTTTTATAAATTTATTTGAGTTTTTCCATATTATTATCAATTTTTCAAAGTGGGACAACTGGCAAGCCTAAATTTCAAAACGTTGATTTTACATCATTTTTAAAATTTGATGTAAAAATTTTATTTTTTGCCAATTTAAATTATCTGTGGGTTAAATTTGAAGCTTTTTAGGTCCTCTTTCCAATGGTATGTTCATATAAATAATTTTTTTTTTAAAAATAGTTATGAGCAAAAAAGCTTAAGTGGGACAACCTGCAAACATTTCTCCTATACATATATGTCCCGAGGCACGAAAGGGATAAAGCAAAAATATCTGTATTAGTAAGTACTATCTCTTTATTTGGAAAAAATTTAAAAATCAGAGCAAAATTTTGTTAACTTCTGTACACACTGTTCATGTTCTTTTTGAGTTCCTGAAAAAATATAGTTATTATTATTTTTTTTCAAGATTTAGAAAGGGCATGTGTAAAAAGCATTAAAAATGTTTCAAGACCATCGTTCTGGATGGCAAGTAAAAATTTATTTCTTATAATACATCTGATTATCGCCTAAGTAGTTTAAGGTGAAGGATCTCCCCATACAGGTATACCCACATGAATCGCCTACTATCACAATGGAGTCTATTATTATACAGCCCGACCACTGACGACAGTATAAGAACTTCTTATTCCTGTCTATCAATCTCCGAAGCGTTTCATTATCTTGCTAGTAATCCACACCTGCACGGAAAATAAAATTCATCCGGAATTTCGGAAACTATTTCTTAACTCTTGGATACGTCGTAAAAATTCTGAAATAATCTAGAATATTCAATTGTAATCAATGAATGTTTTGAAGAAAGGATAATTGAGTGTGTTAAAGATGAGAAGCTACCTTGGCCCCTAAACCTTGATCGTCTTTTCTTTCTCTAAATTTCTTTTTCCGTGAATTGACAACTATGGCAGTTAAATTCTTTGGCGATAGAGTAGGGATAACTTAGCATCAGCAAAGAGTTAATTACCAAGACATCATCATACCTAAACAAAATCATTTTTATAATTAAAGATAATAAATATGCACTATAAGTTTGTCCTGAATCAGCGAATGAAGAATTAAAGACTCCAGCTTGGTAAGCAGTACCTATCATAATTCTTCAACTAAAGTACCAACCAGGGGTCAATCTATCCCTGCACTATTGTCAATCTACTGCCAATTTATTGCCAAGGTACCACCAACATATTATCAACTACCTACCAATCATTATCCAACTGGTTATCGATCATTTGACAATTTCTTGCCCTCAGTGCCAAACGATTGCCATAAGCAGTTCCCTCCAAGATTATCTCTTGGAAAAATATTTAAGGAAACCTTTGGTAAGTAAAACCAACTTTTATTCCCATTTGACATTCTTCTACGTTATGTATACTCTGGTATAATTCTCCTTCCAGTGGAGTTAAATCCTATCTCAAGAAAAACCGCTCACCTGACAATTTCGAGAGTAAAATGTTGTACATTCCAGAAACAAACAAAGGACAAATTATCCCTATCCTTAAAGCATTAGACAAACAATATCTTTACAATTGATATTAGAACAAAAAATAGCAACAACAATAAATAACTCCTGACAAGTTTAATCACATACAGTTCAATAAGATTTAGTTTTTCAAAGGTATTTGAACCATTGGGACGTCAAAGTTTGTCTAGATCATGTGTTTTAAAACTGTGACCTCATGATGATTCAAATGCTCTCAATCTTGATTTTAAACAATTTCTCCTGAATTAAAATTTTTGTTTTAATTAATTAATTCGGCCCGCACTTGATGGTAGAACACCACATACTCTTCCAATAATAGAATTATAAATCATAATGACGACTGGAATCCATAGAACTTGGTCCAATAATGGAATCCAACCATTCCAAACGGATGAATAATTTATTAATTGTTCTCAACTGCATAAATAATTCAATATATGGGCTCGTGATATTTTCACTAGCAATACGAGTTTCATGGAATAATTGCGAAACCTTCTAATGTTAATTAAATCTTGAATATCTCCAGGTGACGAAATCGATGTTTAGTAGATAGGCAGAGCCGGTTCTATCTAGAGATTCCTGCATCGACATGTTACCGACACTTTCATAGCCTAGACTCAAACCACTTAGCCCAGACTCAAACTATTTTGGGAGGTGCGATTCAGATCATGATGCTGAGCCGGAAATGACGTCACAAAAAAGGGGGGGGGTATATTCAAACCATGATGCTGAGACGAATATGACATCATTTCTAGCTCAGCATCATGATTTGAATCGCACCCCCCAAAATGGTTTGAGTCTGGGCTAAAAGTGTCGGTAACATGTCGGTGCAGGAATCTCTAGATAGGACCGGCCCTGCCTATCTACTATGTTTAACATAGGGCAAAACGGCAACAGGGATTAATTCTGCATTCGAAAAATTAATTGAATCCTTAGGTACAAGCAGAAGAAAATTTAAATCAGGAAAATCAATTTTGACAATATGTTTTGGGGGAGAAAAATCCGAAATTATTTTCTGACTGGAGTTCCAGGTTAAAATAAAGTTCAAATTTGGTAAATTCAAGATGTAGGAAAATTCTCAGAAATATATTCTTCTATCATTATCAAATTCGTCAAATATCGACTTGAAATAAATGCTGTATTTTTGAAGAAATTTACCCTGTAGAAAATAACAGGGGGTAAAAATGAGAAATTTTATTAAGAGGTTTGTTGTCTAGTTTCATAGATAAAGATAATCATATTTTTAATTTTTAAAAATCGGTTTAGTAGATTTCGAGAAAAGCTGCTTTATTCCACAATTATCATGGTCGTTATCGGCCGCATGAGTCGATACAGATATTTCATCCGCGCACTAATAACCTTCGCCATTCGTGATTTATCCCAAGGATATCTTGAATCTTTAATTGTCAGGAAGTATACATATGTAGAGATATCAAACATATTTATATACAAATGTCAGAAAAAAGTCAGAAACATTTCAAAATAGACGCAATCTTGAGAGGAACTTTACGCGTGGCAAAAAATTTGTAGGTTATATTTAGGAATGATTTTACTTAATTAAAGATTCATTTTTAATTGCCTGAAGTCAAAAACAATTTCTATTAATTATTCAATATATAAAATTGTTAATAAAAATTATTTTTACTTTAAGTAATTGAAAATTAATCTTTAATCAACTAAAACCATTCCTAAACATAACCTTTAATTTTTTTCCGCGATAAGTCTCTTTTACCAAAAAAGCGGCACATTTTTAAAAAAGAAACCAAGATGATGGTTAAACAATAACTAAAATATAAAATGCGAGGGAATTTTTTATATTTCCGTCAAATGGAATGACATTTTTTTAAAAAATAATTTTTGTATTTCTTTGGCTAAGAAAACGTAGAGAAAAATAAAAAAATCGAGTTTGAAAATTTTCAGTAAAATAAATGCTTCTATGAGGAAGCAATAATTAAAAATAGTAACAAATAAAAAAAATTTTTGAGTAATAATTATTAAAAATTACGAATAATAATTTTTACATTTCGAAAAATTACATTAATACAAAAAATATATATTAATTATTTATTATTATAAAACATTGAAAGAAGTATTATCGATAATTTCAACTCCATTAATATAGAAAATGTTTCAATTTCATTTTAAATAATTAATTATTATTGCATAACTAGCAAATGTTATGCGCGAAACACGGTATTCAATTTATTGTTATTATGCAAATTACAAAATTCTTTATTTTTCCAACTATTATCTGCAATTTTCGTATATCAGGTTCTAAATTTAAAAAAATTCATTTATTAACTAATTATTTATTATTAATTATTATTTTCAAAAATTTTAATTAAATTTTTTTAAAAAATCAATTATTTTTGTAATTAATAAAACTCTTCGCAGAAATTGAATTCCCTATTTTCAAAAGAATTTTAATAAAAATTATTTTAATTTTTAATAAAATTCTCGAAAGAAGTTAATTATTTTTATAATTAGAATAAATTTTTTAGTTCAAATTCAATTATTTTGCAATATAATAATTTCCATAAAACTCCTTTGGAAGAGTGTTTAATTATTTTCAAAAATTTCCATAAAATTCTTCGAAAGAATATTATATTTAATTATTTTCATAAATATTCAAATTCTTGGCTGATTTCCAATTATTTTTAATACGATTTTAATATCAAACTCTTCGAAACGATTTTTAAAAATTTTAATAATACATTCTTTGCAATAATTCCATTCTTTTCATAAAAGCATAAGTAATATATTTCTTGAATGAAATTCAATTGTTTTTAATGCAATTATTTTAATAAAATTCTTCGAAATAACTCAATTATTCTCAAAAATTTTAATAAAATTTTTTTCTTTCCAAACAATAATAAAATTCTACTCATGGAATTCAAATATTTTTAATACAATTTTAATAAATAATTATTTATTAATATTTATTTATAAATAAATTTATAATTTATATTTATGCATAAATATTCATAAATACATTTTTTTAGATTAGAAAAATGATAAAAGTAACAAAATTTACACTTGTTTTTTAAATGTTACTTATCTTTTAATATTAAAAAAATTCACTTATTCACTCAAAATTATGCGGAAAATATAATAATCTTTAACTTTTTTTCCAAAAATAGTATAACAAAAATTTATTCTTTAAATTTGAATTTATTAACATTTTTATATTAATATTAAAAAAATGAAAATAAATTAAAAAATAAAGTAATGATTTTTGATTCAAAATAATTTTTTTAAATTAATTTTTGTTATTTCATTTTTTTTCCTTCCACAAACTTTTAAAAGTATTTTCCAAAAATTGAAAAACAGAATTAATTAATTTCTTTTTTTATATTATACTTGATGCTTAGCGAAGAAAGGGACCTAAGAAGCAAAATTTTTTAGGTTATATTTGTTATGTTTTAAGTAAAAATTTATAAAGTGGATTGAATTACAATTCAAAAAAATTGTTTTAACATTTATTACACTTAAAATATTCAATAAAAATTATTTTTCATTTTACAAAATTGAAAAGGAAGTCTTTATTCCGGGTAAAGAGAAAATAAACTTAACCTATAAATTTCTTTTTCACAGGTCGCTTTCTTTGCCAAGTATCACTTATCACTTAATTAGAAATCCATTAATTTTGAAATTTAAGACATTATTTCTATTAATATTAATTTTTTAAATTTAAAAGAAAAATTATGAAAAAAATTAGGAAACAACAAAGCAGACAAAAACACTAACTTCAAACCCTTTGAGTGGATCTTTTGAAAAAAATTAATAATTATACTCCAAACTATCCCTATAGTATGATTTTTTTATATTAAAAAATATTTGATGTATTATTAAAACTTTTAAAAAAGAAATTTTAAATAATTTAAATTTCATTTTTAATGGAACAAAAGGAAAAATTTTTATTGAATTAAATTATAATTAATTCATTATTAATTAATTAAATAATCATATTAAATTAAAAATGTAAAAAAAAATTTTGAATCAAATAGAAATTTGATTTGAAAATTTTCTATTCATTAAATTTGAATTAATTTGAATTATTTCTTAATCAGGGTCAAAATGACGCAGTGCGTATGTCAACGGAAGGTTGATATTATAAAATATAATTTTGATATTTACGAATAATTAAATTACTAAATAAGTTGAGAAATAATTGAAAAAAATCGATAAATATATTTCACACCATAAACTTTATTTTTTACACAAAGAATATAAAAGGTCCGTTAATATTTTTAAATTAGAGGTGATTTGGGTGACTAATTTTGCATTTAGCACGTTCGCACCTAAAATTTGTGATGCGCGCGCAAAGGTCATAAAAAATTTAATATCCTCAAAAAGCTTAAGACTTTCTTCAAATTTTTGTTTGAATACTTATTATAAACAAAAAGATAAAAAAATCGAAAAACAAATGAAAAAAAGATTTTTTATTTCTCTTATTCGAAAAACAATGTTTTCCTAAATAATTTAATTCTCGTAAACTCGTTATTAATTTATTACCTTAAACTCGAAAAAATTCGATAGTATTTTAAAAAATTTTCAAAAAAAATAGTTGTTCTATTAAAAATATTTAGAAAATTAAAAATTTGTAAAATAGGTAAAAAAATTATTTTGTTTTTATTTATATTAATAAAATAAGGTTATGTTAATAATATTTTGTTCAATGCAAAGCACGTGACTTGGGAAATTACCAGCACCAGTATGGCAATAATTTTAATACTCTAAAAATTCAAAACTGCAGAAGAAAAAAATAAAAATTTTGAAAAATTTTGTTTTTCGCACATCTTTTTTTTAATTCTTTTTCATTTTTCAAAATAATATTTGTCGAAATAATTTTAAATTAAGAAAAATTTTGTACTAAAAACAGTGTTTTTTTTTAAAAATATATATATTAATGTTTTCAATTGAAGTTCCCTTCAAAAATTTTGTTTTCTAACTTAAAAAAATAAAAATTACTGAAAATTAAAAAAAAAAATTTTTTTTTAAATAAATTCTTACCCCACTCATATTTGGTGTGTCCAAAAAGTGTATTCTCTTTTCTATTGTAAATCCCATCCTTAAATTTTTGCCACTTTGTTCTTGTATCAACTGGTCGCATATAAGAAAATTCATAAACACCATTTGTAACAAGTTTTCCAGGAATACTCATTTTTCACTAAATTTATTTATTTATTATTTATTTTAATTTTTTTTATTATTCTACCACTATTAAAATTCGGTACAGAGCGTACGCTCTGTTCAACATCAACGTTACTCTGCGAGAATTAACTCTAACTAGAAAGTATACGCAAAAGCACTGAATCTACCTTAAGAGGTTTACTTAAAAAGAGAGGGGAGACCATTTGAAAGAGGATGTAGATAAGAGATAACTTACGATAGTATATGATTTTAGACAAATATCACAAATATTTAATATATGTATGTAAAGTGTGAAAAAAAAATATTTTCAGTTAGCAGCAGGTAAATATAGATTAGTAAAATAAACGACGTAAATATTTATTATTATAGTGGAATTAAAATCTCGATTAAAATTCTCTTTTTAAATTTTTTGTATATTTTTCACATGTTCACATGAATTTTTTATAAATTTTTTAATTTTTTTAACTTTTTTCAATTTGAATGTGGAATGAATTGACAATTTTTTTTTAAAATATTGATGTACTTGAAATTTGAGATTTACTGTGACACTTAATGGAAGTATTAAAATATTTTTGATTATCAATGAAAAAACAATTTAGCTTTAAATGTCATATAATCTAAGTTGTAAGCACTTTTACTGATAACTGAATGTAACTATGTACTCAATATATAAGGTCAAGGTACCAGCTGAAAAACTGCTCTGAAGATCGTAAAATTATGGCGCGAAAATTTGGGATAAAAAATTCTTTTCGAAATATTAATTTTTATTCAAAAAATCAAAATTTCTATTAAATCAAAACGAACAAAAAATTTGTTTTAAAAAACAATTTAAAATTGAATGGAAAAAAATTTAAATTTGAAAATTGTTGAAATATTTCACATTTTTGATATTTCAGGGTTGCTACAAAAATTTGTTTTCACTTTTTACTACTGATTTCCAAACAGAATTTTGAACTTTTTCCCTGAAAAATTTCTCTTTACCTAAAAAATACTTTATTCTACTCTGAAAATAATTTGTATACACAAAAAAACGTATTCAATACATTTATTTTCGAATATCTTTAATTGTAAAAAATTATTCAAAATCTACTCCTTTTTTTACCTACTCCAACATCTTTAATATTATATTCAATAATTTAATTCAATTGTTTTCTAGAATTTTTAACTAAAATTCTTCTCTGAATCAATAATTTTAATTTTTCAAAAAGTCCCTATTAAGAATTCAATTATTTATTCAATGAAAAAAAGTTCGCTTAAATTATTTCTAAAATCCACCTATTTTACAAATCAATTTCATATAATTTGATAAAATTTAAAAATTTTTCTATTCAATATCGTTATGTATTGAAAAATTAAATTTCAAATGAATAAAAATATATTCAAAAAACAAACTTCTTTATAATTTTTAATCAAAATTTATTAAAATTTAAATCTGCTGGAACTATAATTTTAAATCGTTTGAATGTTTTATAATACTTTTTGTAATTTTTGTAACTTTTTTATAATTTTGAAGTAGAAAAAATTTTATTTTATTACAATTTTTGAAAAAAAAATTTAATTGTTTTCAAAAATCGCTAATATGGAAAGTTTTGAAAATAATTAAATTCCTTTGAGGAATTCAATTATAATAATTGTATTGACAACAACTGAATTCTTATAAAGAATTTTTGAGAATAACTGAAAATTCCCTCTAAATAATTTTATTATTTATGAAAATATTTATTGAATTTATTTATGGGAAAATTTCATTAAAATGATATTCAAAATAATTGAACTAATCTTAAAAATTTAATTATTTATGTAAATAATTGAATATTTATTTAAAATATTCAATTTTCACTTTAGAATAATTGAATTTTTACGCAGAATTTATTAAAATTTAAAAAAAAAATTAAATTATTTCGAGAAATTTTATTTAATTGAATTCCTAAAAAGACTTTTATTATTTATGACAATAATAATTGACTTCTTGCAAATTCTGCGTCGAAGAAATAAATCAAAATTGTATTCGAAATAACTCAATTCTTGGATAGAATTTTATTAAAATTTATTAAAAATAACTGAATTTTTTCAAGAAATTTTATTAAAATTGTATTTAAAATTATTGAATTTATATTCAAAGAATTTTTTTATTAATGAAAATAATCAAATTAAGTAGTGCAAAAAATTTTATAACAATTTTTGAAAATAATTGACTTGTTATGAAAAATTTTATTAAAGTTTTTGAGAATAATATTTAATAATAATAATAATAATAATAATAATAATAATAATGAATGAATGAATGAATAAATACATAAATTTATTTAAAAAATTTTTAATTTGAAATTATTAAAAAAGTGTAGTTGATTTTTGAAAATAATAAATTTTGTAATTCAAAATTTTTTTATGAATTCTAGAATTTTAATAAATTTCCAGTACTTTTGATAAAATTCCCAGACTTTCCCTGACCAATCCCTAAGAAAATATTTGATTGTCTATTTACATGTCAGTTGAATAACATTTTTTTCTAACGCACGCACCAAAAGTACGCACTACTTCCTAACAGCGCATAGATGGGAAATTAAATTTAGAAAGTGACTTTATTCAAAAATAGAAGACATTGATTTTCGAAACTCCTTTTCAATATATTCGGTAATATATTCATCTTTGTAAGTTAATTTAAAAAATCTAACATTGAACATAACTTTTTATTTTCTGTCATTAAAGAAAGAAATTTTGTTTCAAAAGTATACTCGACTCCTGAAAAGATGTTGAATTTAAGGAAATTAATAATTCAAGTAATTAAAATTTGGTATAGATATTAAAACAAAAAATATCAAATTTCTTACTTTTTGAATAGAATTCAAAAATATTAAGTAATTTTTAAATCTTTTTATTATATTGTACAAATTTACCCAAATGTCAATTTTTCTACAACCCAATTTATTGTAGATAACATTTTTTAATTAATATTTTTGTTAATTAATTTAATTAATTTGATAATATATTCTTGAGGCTCCACTGAATTTGAGGATTTATTTTTCAAAGATTTTTTTATAGTAACAAAAATATTTATTACTTAAAATTTTTTTATAATAAAATACAAGAATTAAAATAATCGAAAAGAAATTTTTTTCATGTTTTTTTTTCAAAATGAAAAAAAAAAAAAATGAAAATGGCTGCCGAAAGTGGTCCACTCTGAAAATGTGCCAAACTTTTAGAGAGGACCACCTTCGGCTGCTATTTTCTAAGACTTTCATTTAAAAAAACAAAGAAAAAGTTTTTTAGTTTACTTTAAGACTTATATTTTATTATATACAAATTTTAAATAATACTTAAATATTTTTTTACTATAACAAAGAGTTTTCAATAACAAAAAAATTTATTTTATAAAATAAAAGTGTGACAAACTTTCAGGGAGGACCACTTCCGGCAACCATTTTCTAAGACTTCATTGTGAAAAAAACAAAAAAATTTTTTTTTTGAGTACTTTAAGACTTGTATTACTAATTTTAAGTAATAAATATTTTTTTTACTGTAAAAAAATTTTATGAAAAAACCTCAAATTCAGTGGAACGTTTTCTTAATTCAAATTTATTGCATTATCCAAAAGATATAAAATTAATTTTGAAGTTCTGAAAATATAATGGGGTAAATATGACACTTCAGGGGTAAATTTGGTACATGGGTAATTTTTTTTTATATTTTTGCTAGGTATTTTTTTTAATAAATGTTATTTTGTCACCATAGAAAAATGATAATTATATTTGATTTAGAGCTCTATTAAACTTTTCATTTGCTTCAGAGAAATTTGTTTGGTTCAAATAAAATTTTATTTGTTTCAGAGAAATTTGGTTTGGTTCAAATAAAATTTTATTTATTTCAGATAAAAAATTTTATTTAAGAAGAATAAATATAGTTCAGTAAGCTTGGAGACAAAAATTATACTTTTATTTAACTCAAATAAATTAATAATTGTTTAAATTAAAAATTGTTTTTCTAAGTCTAGGTCAGAATTTTAAAAACTTATAAAAAATCCAGAAATATAATCAAAAAGTTTATAATATTTTCTACAAAAATACAAAAGACACAGAAGGAAGTAAAAAAAATAGTTTTTTTGATTTTTTACAATTTTATCATATTTTGGTGAGTTGGAAAATGTAAAATAGGTTGTAGGTTGTAAAACACAAAAGTGACTATATGACTATTGATAATAATTACTTGCCATAAATATTTTTTATAATAATAATAATAGTCATTTTTTCGAATATACTTTTTATATTTTTTTCTATAATTGTTAAATGCAAAGATTCAAATTTTAAATCCAATACATTTAATTTTCTACAAGTGCGTAAGCAAAATTTCAAGTTTGTATAAAATTTTAGAAAAAACTTGACAAATTTTGATTTTTGTACATAGAGAATTTTAAAATAATTTATTTAGGTACTTTTTTACACGAAAAAAACTATTTTTAAATAAAAATTTTTCAACCCCACTTTTTTCGAAAATAAATTTTGTTTTTCAATTTTGACATACAAACTATCTCTGTTTTCAATCTTTTATTATTTTGATTAGAAAGATGGAATTTTTCAAAAAATTATGTAAAATTTGAAAAAATGACAAGAAAATAAAAATTTCAAGAAAATTAAAAAAAGTACAAAAGTTGTTTTTTTCAATTTCTCGAAAGTAAATTTTTGTATCACTTTCGTTTTTATGTATTTTATTGGACAAAATCTTAGCTTTCTTTTGAAATTAATTTTTTAAAAAATGAAAAAAACAGGTAATTTTGTACATAAAAATGAAAAAATAAGGTTTATTATTAAAGAAAAAGGGGTTAAAAAATTTATTTTTGAAAAAATTATAAAACTTAAAGGGTATCTTGAGAAGAATATTAATTATTTCTTGTACAAAACAAAAATAGGAGAAAATAACTTTTTTTGTTCTTGAAATTAACCCTATTGATGGTAACACACAATAATTTAACTGACAATTAAAAAATGACCTATTTTTATTATCGTAAAAATATCGTTTTCATGAGATTTAAATGAAGTTTATTTATTTTCCAAGCTTTTAGTTCGAATTCTTCAAAAATTCTATTATATTTAATAATAATTTTTAAAAGTAAAATAATAAATTTTTTTAAAACTAAAAATTTATTTCAAATAAGACAAAATTTGCAATTAATTAGAAATTAAAAATTTTTTTTTTTAATTTTTACAAGAATTTAACTATATTCTATTCAACTATATTAATTAAAATTTTTCAA